AAAAGTACTCCGACGGATGGACGACGAAGGGGTGTGGGAAGAGTACGAGAGGCAGATTCACGAGAGCCGGGGTTATGATCTTCAAAAGTACTCCGACGGATGGACGGCGAAGGGGTGTGGGAAGAGTACGAGAGGCAGATTCACGAGAGCCGAGGTTATGAAGTCAAAGTTTACCCTACCGTCTCCGATTGCACTGAATCATTCATGTCGTGGAATTTCGGCGGAGAACCCAATCCGTATGAACAATTCCTCCCCGCCTCTCTTACCCCAACCCTCCAAGATTTGATTGATATGTGTAATGAATGCATTGATGATTGCTTCAACAAAACCCATGAGGAAGAAGAATACTATCTGTTTGGTGGGAGTGCGGATTGTATTAGGCACGTGATTTGTGAGCGTCGCCCTAACCAGAATGTCTGGTATCTTACCTTCCTGGCTCGACCTAAATCTGCTGGTGCCGCCGCGGAATTCCAAACCTTTCAAGCCCAGTATATGTGGGGTTATCGACTTCCTCCCAGACAGGTCATTTTTTGCGAACTCAAACATCTGCTTGATGCCGACGAACAGAAAGCTAAAGATGACAACTTGGACTGCTTGCTTCCTTGCTGTCTCAACAAACAGCGGGATAACTGATCCTTTAGAACCTTAACAGCCAGCATGAGACCTCTTTAGCAAGCATACTCATACTATAAGTACTATTAGTAGTTAATGAATTCGTTGGGTTTTAAATGACTGTTTTGGTTAGAATCGACCTCCCAACTCCACCACTACCACCAGTATCTAGCTTCAGATTCTTTTTTGCTATTGTTTGTTGGGTTAGAATGATTATTTCCTCAATTTACCATTTTGATTAGCACAAATCACAAGATGCAGGGATCACTGTGTGGTTTTGTTGGTGTAATTTGATGATTATGAAACTATTTTCATATGGGGATTCCATTTTATTAGTAATGGTAGGATATAAGTTCATAAAGAAAAACTAAGCATATATATGTTTTCCTAGATGATGGATTTGTGTTGCAATGTCATAATTATTAAATTGTGTTGTGTCTGGCTGTATTCTGTCTTCTATGGTTTCATATCCTCTGGCAATTTATCCATTTTCGAGTTTGGTGCAGTTGAATTACAGAATAGCTCAGAAGTTTCTTTGGTTGATGAATACAATGTAATGGCTATACTGGGTGTTGACATTGTCATTTGACGTTGTCTGGCGCATATCCCAGCTTGAATCCCACAATCAGGAGAAGTGTCAGTGATGGGTGATTTGTGTTAGTTCTTCTGTTGTGCAGAAGGCGTTTTGTGTGTTATGCATTTTATTTATCTTGTTTCGTATATGGACTTATTCGAATTTCATGTCTTTATATTTTAAAACTACAGCCTTAAATTATAGCTTGGTGACGAAAACACAAGCGTTTAGCAAATATTTGTATGTGGATAGCACCAGTGTTGTCAAGCTCGGACCGGAGCTTGACTCGGAATGGCCAAGGCATCAAGCGAATCGGGGGGTCGACTCAGGGCGAATCGGGGAGGTCAACTCGGATGACGTAATAATGACGTAATAAATATTAATTAATTAATAATTATATTTTTAATCAGAATATATATAATTTTATATATATTTGTCAATTGTTCAAGTTAATTAATATTTTATAATTTTTAAATAGATTTTGATTTGTCCAAATTTAATTCGAGAGGTCCATGAGGATGATGTCATTTTCACTAAATAAATAATACTTATTTTTTTAAATATTTAAGATTAAAAACTTAAATTTTATATCTATTTTCCTGTTGTAATAGTTGTATTGACACTTTGTAGCAATTAATTATTATTTTTGTGATGTAAATTTGCATACTAATAAAGTAATTAAGATAAATAAATTATTTTTTAGACAAATTATTGAATTTCAGGATAATCAATATGAACATCAGGAATATGATATTAAAATTTTGTGATATATTAGAGTTATTATAATATAAATGATTCTTAAAATGACGGAAGTAAGTTTGTGGAGTGAAATTAAAAAAAAAATCAAAATAGTCCTGTTTAGGAATTAATACTTTGAAAAAAAAAAATTACTAAAAGTTTTAGGGTCATTTTGAACAAAAGAGAAAAATTGGGCCTTGAAAAGAAGACATTGGAACTTAGAATCAGGGGAAATGTGCAAATTTTGGTCAACAAGTCAAAATAATTAAAGACCCCGGTCCGATCCGATTTTAACCGATTCTCGGTTCGACTGAGTCTTTACCGGTTTTGACTGATTTTTTTTGCCTATTTTATTTCTTACTCGGCTCGGCTTAGGGTTCGGTTCCGAGTTAAACCGGTTTAACCGGCTGATCCGAGCAGAGCTTAACAACATTGGATAACACAACTGACAAATTGTTTTGGCAGGATCACCGCCTTTTATTATTTATTCTGATGTTGGGCCTACAATTCGCAACTTTTTGTTGTTGTTGTTGTTTTCTTCTTTTATTGATTAGGAAGCTAGAATCTTCATTAAACATCCCCTCGAAGTTATCCTTGATTTGATTGGAGCTGTAAAAATGACGGATTTAATTTTAAAGTTTGGCGCTCTGGTCAATCTCATTCCAAAGTATTTTGTGATTGGAATTATGAAATTGGCAAGAATGTTAAAGATTGGATTGAAATTGACTAACTTAAAACACTTTGGAAATGAAATTGACTAGAAAGCCAAATTTTAGAATTAAAATAACCCATTTTTCCGGTTGGAGCGGTTGACAAAATATGTTTGGGAAGTTCTGTCTTCCGGTCCTTAATGTAAAGCATTTTGATTTGTTTCAACTTTCACTTAGTATGTATTTTATATTGGAAAAGAAAATCTTAAAAATATACTTTTTTTTTGTTTTGTCTTATGTTAGAATGTGTTTTTAATTGGTAAAAAATCTTAAAAAAGATATTTTCATATTCTTAGCGTTCTTTTGATTATTAGGAAATATTTTTAAGATTTTTTTATCAATTAAAAATGAGTACTAGGTGAAATTTAGGACCAATCAAAATAACTTACAATAAGGACCAGAGGGTCTAAGTCACTTTAGACTTCATGCGTAAACTAAGTAGACAATCACACATTTTTAAAAAAAGTAGACAATCATACAATAATTAATTTGTTTGTTAGATATCTATTTTATACTTTATTACTTATATGAAAATTATAAATAAGACTAAATGAAAAAGAGGTTGTCATCATTTATTAAAGGTAAAGTTTAAAAATGGGTCCTTAATTTGCATTGAAATCGTAATTCGACTTATATTTTTAAAAAATTTCTCCAAATTTAAAGTGATTTGTATAAATTTCTCCAAGTCTATAATGACTTGTATTTTAAAATGGATGGAGTATTATGTATTTGAAAAATGTAGCGTAGGATCCGAACACCATAATTCAATGAATATTAGCGCAACCGTCAGCAGTTATTAAGCCCAACCTTAAAAAAAACTCTAGAATTTAGGCGACATTTTGTAATGTTACGGCCAATTAGAGATCAAAAAATAGAAGAAATCGGAGAGAATCGACGATTTCGGGGAAGAAATTAGGGTTCTATAAAAGGGGAAAAATTGGGGATCTGCCACAATTAGAAAATCAATTCAACATAAAATTATTCCATAATAATATTTTTATCCCGTAAAGACTATATATGGTCTGATGTTTTACGGTATTACAAAACAGCCCATGTACTATTAATTTAAGGCAATTAGGTCCTCTACTTTTGTCAATCCATGACAACCCCCCTAAAAATAGTGTTGTCCCCAACATTGTCTTTACAAGGTTACAACTAGAAATTGAACTATAGAAAACTAGCACCAACGCCTTAATACTAGCATACTACTACGATGATCTTTACAAAGGAAATGAAACTAAATAATTTAATACTCAAGAAAACAGAATTAAGTAACATAGCAACTATAATTTAAGTAAACTTCTGACAGCTCTAAGCATCCACCATTACGTCATTTGCCATGCATCTGAGAGTATCTACGGCATTTGCGAAGCCAAATTTGCGGGTTGTCGCCTGTAAACATCGGTAGATCCAACCGGGGTTGCTGGTACCACCTGTAATTCTGGTGTGCCCCATTGTGGTTGTCAACCTGGAATCCCCCAGAAGTTGTGAACTCCGGTGGGTGACTGTTCTGGCTGAAATTGTCTGCACGTGTCTGGTGGTCAAAGTCCACATGCACTGGATTTACTGGAGAGCGTCAAGTTCCTTTCTTCAACGCCGACTAGAACGTGGCTTGATGGCTTTCGGCCCCACTTTGTGCAAACGACGGCCGATAAGGTACTGGAGAGGCTGGAGAAGTAACTTTTGTTGCAGACGCCTTCTCAAGGTTTCGCTGCTACGTCGTGCTGACCATGTCCAACATCCTTGCTATTGAAACCGTCAACAAATCCACCTTCGATTCCAAGGATGTGAACCGCGAGTTGAGATTTGAGAATTTCGACTCTAGAGTTCCAATTCGTATAGAGTGTGCATCACTGCTGGAATCCTTGACCAGTTTGTCAGCCGCTGCCCGAGTTCTTGTCATTTTGCGGATTGAAATGAAGGTAAATGATTGGGAGGTTAAGGGTTTGTGGATTTCTTTTTCAGAGAGTATCGAATGAGAAATCAGAGTCTATTTATTGGAAGAATAAAATGGGTCCAAAAAACACCAAGGAAAGTCTAGCTCTGAGGCCAGATGTAATGCTACAGCCAATTAGAGGTCAAAACAGAGAAGAAATAGGAGAGAATCGACGATTTCGAGGAAGAAATTAGGGTTCTACAAAAGGAGGAAAATTGGGGATATGCCAAAATTAGAAAATCAATTCAACATAAAGCCATTCCGTAATAATATTTTTACCCCGTAAAGACTATATATAGTCTGATGCTTTACGGTAGTACAAAACAGCCCATGTACTATTAATTTAAGGCAATTAGGTCCTCTACTTTTGTCAATCCAGGACACATTCACGCCATGGAAATTCGGGGGAGAACCCAATCCGTATGAACAATTACTGGATGCCTCTCTTACCCCAACCCTCCAAGATTTGATTGATATATGTAATGAATGCATCGATTGCTTCAACAAAATCCATGAGGAAGAGGAAGACTACCTGTTTGGTGGCGGGGCGAATTGTATTAGGCACGTGACTTGTGAGTTTGGCACTGGCCTGAATCTCTGGTATCTTACTTTCCTGGCTCGATGTAATCTGCCGGTGCCGCGGAATTTGAAACTTTTCGAGTATCCAGGGGGCTCGGCTCCAACCAGATGGGTAACTTTTTGCCAACTCAAGGATGTGCTTCATGCCAACGATCAGAGGGCTAGACAAGACAACTTGGAGTGCTGCCTTCCTTGCTGTTTCATCAAACAACGGGATTTCTCCAACTGCACTGATTCCTCCTTCCTTCACCATCTCTCAGCTCTCTGCCTCACCAACTGATTCCTCCTTTAGTGAGCATGCTGAAACTTTAATGCTTTTAATTTCTTCCATTTGTTTTCTCTTTGCTCGTAAGTGATTACAAATGTTATATGTGGGCTCAATCACTCGTGTTGAACATTTTGAATCTTTGTTGGTTTGTTTTTCTATTCAACTATTTAGTACTGCAGCATTGGCATTGTTAGTTATGGTGTTTGGACCATAGAAATTAGTAATTTCAGAATCACTGGTATGCAAATTTTTCGATCTCGGACCTATATATCGCCAACTTGAGAACCAAAAGACTGTTGGTTGTTAAAGATAAGGTAAGGCTTCTTTCATCAACCTCAAAAACACCTTGCAAACAATAAGTAAGAACAGCCATTCAGTGGCATCACATTTCAACCAAAAAAGATTCTGAATTCGATATCTAACTTCTTGCATATGAAATGATTCTAGGTGGAGGGACTACCAAACAATTTCTCAACCAGTACAATTATTAGCCCTTGTTGTAATCTCATGAAATAGCATTTATCATTTTTCAATCCACTGTTTTCCCTAAAGATCAAGCTGAAATTCAATCTCAGGCAATAGCTGAAAAAACAAATGACATTCATTTCCAAATGAATTATGAACTAAAACAGACATTTAACTAGTGCTTTTTGTTAATTATTTTTTAATCCTTTTTCTTTTCTAATATTCCTCATCATAGATGACCATGGAAATGGTCACAAGCAGCTTAGTCGGTGAAAAACATCGCATTGAAGGGATATATGCCAAGTGGAAACTGTAAAAATCAAAAGAATATTGCAAATCAATTAATCAACAGAGCAAAAATCACACAAAATACACCTTTAATTTACCTCACCAAAAAATACTAAATAGTGCACATTGAGTTCTAAAAGTTATACTCATTTTTAGTACAAATTTCATAATTAGATGTGGATATTTTTTTTAACAGATAACGTATATTATATTTCGTTAAAATGTAATTTATATCATTATAACTTCCAAAGTGTAGTTTTTGTTTACTCAACAAAATAACATAATTTCCTCAAAAAAAAAAAAACAAAATAACATAATATCCCTTAGAGTCATTTGTACGGTTATTACTTATAAAATGTAAAACTATTAAAATTACACACATCTAAAATCCTGGTTCGCTTGTGGAAGCTTGCCTAAAACCAATAAAATAATTAAAACCAATTCGAAAATTTGAACACAATCTCGTGGTTTAAAAGGTCGTATCATGATTAAATGTGAATAATCTTAACCATATTGAGGTAAAATCTAAAAAGAAATAACATACTACAACTAAAAATTAATAGGGTTATTATTATTCTCACACCAACAGATAACCAAGTTCATAACTTAACCAAATTAGTATATTCCCTCCATTCCAAAATAAGTGCCGTTTTGGTAAAATAGAGAAATTCCAAAATAAGTGTCGTTTTCGGATTCTAATGCATTTTTTGTCAAAAATTTCCAAACATACTCTTATGCATTTTTTGTCAAAAATTTCCAAACATACCCTCAAAAGAAATAATATTATTGGTAGCATTTATTTTAATGGAGTTAATTGAGGATATTCTTGTAATTTAGTTACCCTAGTTAATATTTCTTAAACTTTAAAATGACACTTATTTTGTAACGGAAGGAGTAAAATTCAAAATGGCACAATTAGTTATATGTGAACTAATTCCAAGTGACCACTAAAGCATAACTAACAACAAATGGAAGCAAGTTTAGTTTAGGCTTGAAATGCGCCTGATTGTTAGGGGCTTAGGGCCCGGCGAAATTGGGGGAAACGAAAAAAGAAAAATGAAAGAGGAAAGAAGCGGCCCAATGAAAAGAGGAAATGGAAAACGCGCACCGAGAAATTTTGTTCGCGCCATTTTTTTCTCTCCTTTCTAATAAATAAGGAGGCTCAAATTCGGAAAAAGGGAGAAAAAGAAAAGAAGCAAATCCCTAAAATCTATAGACTTTCTGATAGACTTTAGTTTCCTTTCTTTTAACGCAGATCGGCAAAAAGTAGTGTTCTTCGATGGACGGCGAAGGGGTGTGGGAAGAGTACGAGAGGCAGATTCACGAGAGTCGGGGTTATGAGGTCAAAAGTATTCCCTGGCCATCCCCCTGAGTCGGCAACATTCATGCCTTGGAATTTCGGCGGAGAATCCAATCCATGTGAACAATTCCTCCAAGATTTGATTGATGTGTGTAATGAATGCATCGATTGCTTCAACAAAATCCATGAGGAAGAGGAAGACTACCTGTTTAGTGGCGGCGCGGATTGTATTAGGCACGTGACTTTTGAGGTTGGCACTGGCCTGAATCTGCCGGTGGTGCCGCGGAATTCGAAATCTTTCGAGCCCAGTATGTGTGGGGTTATCGAAGGGGCTCGACTCCTCCCAGAAGGCTAAAGAAAACTTGGAGTGCTGCCTTCCTTGCTGTTTCAACAAACAACGGGATTTCTCCAACTGATTCGATTCCTCTTTCCTTCACCATCTCTCAGCTCTCTCCTTCACTAACTGATAGGTGAGAATTAAGGACTCTGTACAAAGATTTGGTGATTACAAATTAGAAAATAATTTACTTTTACAATTACTATTCTCGTGCAGTAGTTTAGTTCTTTTACAATTCTAATAGTGGTTGTTGTTGTAGTGAATTAAGTAGTTAGAGTCAGTTCTTGAGATCATGTTAGTGGTGGAGATTGTGTCCTTAAATATTATAAACCACCAGATGTATTTATCGACATCTTTATTAGTCATTTGAAGGTAGGAAGAAAAAGAAGGATATTTTATGTTTTAATCTCTGCCTCTCTCTCTTAATTTCTGGAGTTTTGGGATTCGACTCGAATAGAATTCTATCACCAACAGATCTATTATCGGATTTTTACACTCTTCAGTTTCCTGCAATTTTTTTTTTTTTTTTTACATATCAGTCTCAGTGCAAACAAAAAGTGAAAACACCACCTGCTTTCAGTAATGGTCTATTTAGTGAGCCTGCTGAAACGTAAATGCTTTTAATGTCTTCCCTTTGTTCTCTCTCTGCTCATTAAGTGATTACAAATGTTATATATGGGCTCAATCACTAGTGTTGAACATTTTGAATCTTGTTGGTTTGTTTTTCTCTGCTCAACTTGCTAGAAGGTCAGACATGCTGCACTTTTCTCATTAAATCCATTCTTCTTTCATCATGGTTGTTTATGTTTTTGATCATCCGCTTGCATTATGTCTTTCTCTGCTTTTGTTCTTAGTAATTTGATTCTTCCACCCGCAAATGCTGCATCTCTTCGTTTTGCTCTGATTTTGTCGGATTATTGTGCCCTTTTCGTTTATATGGTTGTCTTTTTAATTGAAATCCTCTCAGCTTTTTAGTACAGCATTGGTATTGTTAGTTATGGTGTCTGGACCACAGAAATTAGTTAATTCAGAATCACTGGTATGCAAATTTTGATCTCGGACCTCTGTGTATTGCCTAACTTCAGAACCAAAAGAGAGTGTTGGTTGTTAAAGATAAGGTAAGGCTTCTTTCATCAACCTCAAAAACACCTTGCAAACCATAAGTAAGAGCAGCCATTCAGTGGAATCACATTTCAATTCTCTCATGTGAAATGATTCTAGGTGGAGAGACTACCCAACAATTTCTGGACCAGTACAATTGTTAGCCCTTGATGTAATCTCATGAAATAACATATTCATTACAAAAATTTGTCCTTCATTCCCCTGTTTTTCCTAAAGATGAAGCTGAAATTCAATCTCAGGCAATAATAGCTGAAAAAACAAATGACATTCATTTCTAAATGAACTTTTCCTCAAATTTATGCCTGGGAGCACAAATTAGAGGGATCTTTGACATGGACCAATCAAAAATGAAAATGTGAAACCCTGGGACAGCAATCCATCCAGAAGAGCTTTACCATTACCAGAAATGCAAATCGTAATCACTCTTACTTGTGCTCCCTTCCATCCCGAGAATTCAGTTTGTCTACATCCAGATCACTTACAAATACCAATATGAATGAACTAGATTGAAGACTAGAATCCAGAAGAGTGTTATCTCATGAGCATGTAAGATTCAACATACATTTCGGTAGCACCGACCCATTCCCATATTTTCGAACGAGTATGTTTTGCATAATTGGTTTTGCAAAGGAAACAAACACACAAAAAGAAGTTTCTTATAGCATTAGTAATAGAAGAAAGAAAACACACGATTTGAAAGTATCTAAAAGTTCAATATAAAGGACAAGTTCTTTGCAACAAAATCATTTCCAGAAATCATGAAAGGTGAATATTATTAAAAATACAACCAAGTCAGTGTAATAAGAAGTAATGATGAATGTGATTCTAAACCATTACATTGTAATTTGCATTAAAAACAATATCGTTAACAAATTTTATTGCCTTTAGAATAATTATTCCAAGGCAATGCCTTTGTTAGCAACTCTTTATCAAACATCACCTAGAGTTCTTGGTGTGAATAGGTTCATTACGTCTTCCACTTGATTAATGATGAATTAAATACACCAAAAATCATAATAGGGGAAAAAGAGAAAAATATAGCAAAACCTTTTCGTCCATAACAAAACATCTAAAACTCCCACTTTGATTTACAAAAGAAGAAAAGAACTCCCACTTTTCCGGTCAACAGCAATAAAGGTTTTTGTTCGGTTTCTACGAATATTCCATAAATCACAAAATATACAGGAAAAAAAAAATCCTCCCCAAATGAGAGAATGATGTTTCCCGCAATTGTTTCAGATTGATTGATAAACTCGTCAATCTTCAAGGCGTCTCTGCAGAATTTCATTAGCAATGGGGAAGTCGGGCGTTATATCCACAGGCACCTGAAATCAGCACAAACAAAAAGTTAAAAGACCTAAGAATGGAACTCCCTCCCTAAGGGATCGACTTCTTTCACTTCCTGAAGTTCCACACGAAACCTCCCAGTGTTATTCGTTGTGCACCAACCGCGCCATCAAATGATACAACATGGTTTTATTGATACAAAGGTCATGCATTTTATTGTTATGGTACACACAATACTGTTTCACTAATGAGATGAAATTAATACGCAATAAGTGGAAGAGGACCTCATCTCATCAAATTGTGATTCCTGCTTGTAAATTTAATGATCATTCATATAATTCCCTCATCGAAACAAGTAATACGCTTCTCCAGAATCTCAAAATTAGTTATTGGTCTAAGCAAGAATAACGGAAGGGCAAACAAAATGCTTTATCGCTCTAGTGAAAGTTCTAAAGGTTAATGGTTGTAACTAAGTTGTGCAAGCAGTCGGAACTGTACCAAACTATTAGTAAGTCAATTACTCTGCTTAAGGCAGTTTCAAACCAAATAAAAACAGAGTTTGAAATGTTGAAAAATTTCACATCTTTTGAAAAGGAAGGGTAAGAAGTATCAGTCTTATACCTGAACGAGTTCTAACTTTCTCAAGGCATCCTTCAGTGGTCCAGTCATGACACAATATGTTTGAAGAAGTGTTCTAGCTGCACTTTTGTCACCTCTTGCCTGTATGGTTAATATCTCCCTGCTTAGACTCTCAACAGCACTTTCAACCTGACAGAAATTGAGAGGGGAAAGTGATGATTAACTAGTTCACCTTCAATGAAATAATCATGCAGATCCTGGAAAATCGATACCTTATCAAAATTGATGGAGAAAGTTTCATCTGGGTGCAAAACAATGGCACCTTTCTCAAACAAATAATTAAACTGCAGCGCCTGCCCTTTCCTAAGCTCGCCAACAAAACATCTCAATTAGTTATAGAACCAAAGAAGGCTGTCAGCATGCGAAGTATAAAACTTACCCATGAGCCTCCTCTAACCCAAAACGTACGGAGCGGAAACACCCAGCTAGGAAAGAAACGTACATGGATTTGACCAGACTACTGGGGAGAAAGCCCTGGTGACGTCAATGAAAATGAGGACATGAATTTTCATCACAAATTATATTGGCTAACATAGAGAAACTCATAGTAGTATAAGGTAAGGGTGAAGGGGTGGAGAAATGCTTCCAAGTGACATGGTTCCAGCTTTTATGGCAGAATTATTTTTGAAAAATGATATTGCATGATGCCATTAGATCTCTGACAAGCTCAATCTATCAACTTATCCTATCTTATGTAATCATATACCCCCTGTCCCAAAACATGAATCGTCTTTTGAGAATTACAACTTATCAGAAATTATAAGGTACAATAAATAACAAGCTATTTAACTCTTCCTCCTCTAGTAGCCGAACTTTTTACTATCGAACCATGAATCGTCATGTTACTAAGGACAACGAAGTTGAAAGATAACAAATGTAACCCCTCATAGGAGCACCGAAATACTAAAAATATAAACGATAAAAATCCTAATGCACATCTATATTGACAAAATATAGCCTTCTCCCTCATGAGGCTGTGGATCTTTATTAACAAAATGAAGTCTCATGGGTAAAACAGAAATAACAAGTTTGCAAACCTAACTACTCATAAGGAATGTTAAGAGTTGGTTGGTTGTTGATGTGGAGGTTGTCATTTTGGAAGTCCAAGTTCAACGATTCCCACTACAATTCGAAAACAATAGCCATAAAAATTTATGTTTATCCCAAAATGTGAAATCAGATGTATAATTATACCTGACCATTGTGTAACTAGCATGGGTGGGTGAATGTTTTTGACTGAAATTTAAATAAATCATATCTTTCCAGTAGTTTCTTGACAATTATTTTTAAGTCTTTCTCCTATAATTGCTGCAATATACCCTTGCAAAAGACCTCTATGCCCAAATTTAGATAACGTGAAGTATTTTCCTCGCATTTCTTAATCAATCAGACCAACCACCTCCTGATTCAGTGTGTTTATTTGTCCATTTCGATATTCTCATTTTGGCTAGCCTTTTCTTTTTCCATATTTTGACCACACAGAATGATGTAAAACTTCCTACTCTTCCGGCTATTTTATTTAACACAAACAAAAGAGAATAAGGCAGACCACTGCAAAAATACCTTATCAATCAAAAACTTCAGCGACCAAAGACCAACAATATCAGCCTTTGCTTCTTCAAGTGATGAATGAAGCTCTTGCAGCTCCTGTAACCAAAAAGAAGCTATAATAACAGAATAACATCATAAAATCTGTGGAAGTGCTTCCAATAAGAAGAGCATTTAAGCGTATCGACATCTTCACTACATCTCCACTCTGTTTGTGCTTCAACAACCAATATAATATCCTGCTTAAATGTCCTTCAAATCATAAAGGACAATTCTCAACAGGAAACAACCTAAAGATCCTCCGTACCATAATGGAGAGCCACTCGTTTACTCTTATTTACTAAATCCAAGGTCCAAACTTGATTCTACTTTGAGTGGCAGTTGATGTGAAGCAACAAAAAAAAGTGGCATTTCTACAATGAGTTATTCAAACACATATTTTCAGGCATCTTGAAAAAATTTCAGCCTTCAACTTTTAATGGACCAGGTTTTATTAATACTCAGCAGTTTACTGTGCACGTTGTGTCCTGATTTTGACGTGAAATAGCATCCATTTAGAATATGTTAAACTACATTGTGCATGTTACAAACGCTGCTGGGAAAAAGTAACAGGTCTACAAACAAAAAGGGCAACATGTCATTCAAGATACTGAGCAGAAGAGGAAACTGCAGAAGTGTAACTGTTAAAAATCAGGGTAAGGAGTCCAAGAGTTTACCAGTCTAACTGTTGATTTCCTTCCATCTGGAAGAACAATAGTGTGAGGACCAATACCATGGCAGCATTCATGACAAATTGTGTGCGTGAAAAAAGAGTCAAAATCGACAAATTTCTTTTGCTCCTTTGAAATACAGACATCAGCTATTGGCTGGAGAATTAGATTGAACCTGCATGCGGATGGCAAATAATTTTACAAAACTTAAAAGGCATATAAAATAATAGTTATAATCGAAAAGGAGCTTTTGTGTTAGCCACAGTAACAATTATGTGGTAGAATGCCATAAAAATGTTCTGTATTCAGGATATAGATGCCATACTTTGCCTCAGATACATTTTTGAGCATGACCATGGATGTTCCTCGATCTTTTACAATGCGCTCATCATTTGGAAGATTAAATGCAACAGTTTGAGGGCCCTTTACATCCTGTCAAAACAAATTCATTCACGATTTACTAGATTTGGTCAGCATAGTGAAGGTGATCTTTTCTTCAAAGTAGAATGTAAAAAACTCTGTAGCATAAACTAGTTAAAATCCAGTTATAGACACACATATACACACACAGAGACCCATATACACATCCAAGATAAACGTAAGTTTACAAGATGGAAGAAATAAGTTCCTTTGAAAGAAATAAGGTGGCATAAAAGTTACTCGTGAACATAAACCTTTGAAAGAAATAAGTTGCATATGAATGAACTAAACCGCCCCAATCTAAACCAATTAGTGATATTAGGTGGCATAAAAGTTTCTTCTTCCAATAATTGTTTGGATACCTTTCGGGAATAAGGTTACAAGTGTACTTAATATCTCCAAGCTTTCAGTAATTTATAAGGAGATGACAAAAAAGTTTAATTACATCTCTCCAATGCGCATCCACCACATTCCTTTTAGGACATCAATGGAACTGTTCCTGAGATTTAGATTTCATTTTTGACTTGTACTTGAAAGGAGGTTATAGATCAAGGACGTTTCCAAAAAAACTGAAGCTTTCACACAATGTAAGTTCCTTTCAGCCAGTTGATTTCTGATTGTCTTACCGCAACGAGAAACACTGAGGCCTAACTTACAGTACAATGATATTCACACGAGAACATATCTGAATTAATTTATCAACAATTCTTAACATAAATCTAAAAGCACATAACCAAAGTATAAATTTCAAATTTGTAAGTCCCAGGAAAATTAATCTAGTCATAGACATGTATGATCATGCTAGAAGTGAAAAGCACCAGAAAGTAGCACTATTTAGGCAGTTCAACTAAATACTAAACTATAAACTCCGGAGGCTTACCCCCGCATTATAAAGAAGCTGGATGACCCTAATGGGAGCAGTTATAACATCTTCAGACTTGTAAACATCATCCATTGGAAGATTCCTCTCCAGCACCTAGGTAATAAAGTTGTGTGCAGAATAAAGAAATCTTATGGTAAAGCAAGGGATAAAACATTGGAGTATACAGTAGCATAAACCAATGCAAAGCACCTGTAACTGTTCACCAAAGAGTTTGACTTGTTCGGTTGCTTTATCATCACGAACTCCAATAAACACCTCAAACGTTGCCTGACGAAATTAGGAATTCTAATTATAACTATTAAAGAATAAAAGAGAGAAGAAAGCCGTAAGCACTTATCTAACATCAGGATATCTGTTTCACTGTCCAATGAACAGTGCAAGACAAACTATCACTGTGTTGATCAAGAAATAATGGTCTTTTCTAATGAAGCACTTGTGTCCCAAAATGAAGGGAAACTGAGACAGATGTCAAATTTCAAGAGAATTTTTGCAAATGTAGAAGGTACACATGACAGAACTAACATAATCCAAGTTTTCTCCAACCTTTTTTCAAAGAGAATCAAGTTTCACTGAAAATAAATGTTCATACTACTATCTCATTCCAACTTCTTTTTCCTTCAGTACTGATAATAATATCTTGAATATTTAAATACCATTTTTTACGAGATAAATTTTGCACAAAAAGATGTGCTTACTCTCACATGCCCAACTAGAGTTATTGGCGTTCATATTGTATAGTGAGGCTCATATTAACAATCAAAATTTTATTCAACATGAGATAAAACTTGTACAGAAGTTTCTTAGCGTGAGGTGCCACAAGAACTATGGGAGAGTTAATGGAACTTATCACAGGCAAAAATTAAACTCACTGTTATGACAGCAAGAATGTTATCGGGAACAGGTGATATTCACTACATTATAAATACAACCACGTTAATTACATATATTCAATAACAGTCTTTTTCATCCAAATTTTGACACCTACGTGACCAAGTGTGATACCCATGAAAAAATTGAATCAGGATTTCAGAAGTTCCAAAGAAAAATTCAGAAAGTCATGCAGCTCTGAAAGACACCTAATTGAGATGAAAAAGCCTACTAATATGTTTTACATTGATTAAATATAACTTCTTATAAGGTTCATACCAATTTGCTTTCAGATACACTTGTCCGTTGTCGAGTATTCTGGTTCAAGTTATACTTCGGAGGGAGAATTAAGGAAAAAATAGTTATGACAAATTCTACATTGAATTGTACCTTGTATCCGAAAAGTGCATCCTCATAGGTTTCGTAGGGACCAATAGTTAGGTCCAACTTTGAGTCCTTCAAACAAAAACAAAACAGAAAATATTTGGAATGTCAATCACATGTCATCTTTTAGATAGTTCATAAAAGAAGTAGGGATAAGAAAACCACAGCAACAAAAGCTCGAATCGCTCAAATTTCTACGGCATACGGAGTCGGTTTTAATAGTTCTGAATCTGTTGTTTTACTGAATTACTTATGATCTATATTCCCCTACGTAGCTACTTATACTAATTCAATGCAACCAGAAAGGGTGGGGTGCACATTTTTTTTCTCAACTCCACAAAATGTACTCTTTTGGTTCCTTTGACAGCAGGACAAGACACTGACCTTCTCGTGGAAGATCTTTCAAGAATTAAAAGAAACCAGAACAAGCAAAAACAAAATCCAAAATGCATTATCACATGCTAACTTTTATTCTTATCGACATCAATAACAACTCCCCACTCTCCTCTACGCGTTCTAGTTATGTTTTCAAAACAAGAACAAAAATTGATATGCTAAACACAAAGTATTTCCATGATCTAACACAAAGGTCGCACTTCAAATTAAAAGTCACTCCATCTAGAATTTTTGTGAACAACCAAATTGGAACCATTACACGACTGTTGACAAAAAGCATGAACTATGAGTTACATACTCCTCATTCCTAACCAACAAACTACTCGATTGTTTCAATCCCTTTAAAGTACCAACACAATCAATGATTTCTTCAAAATTGTTGTAAGTTATTAGAAACTATTTTCTTTCAGAATTTCCAAATGATAAGCACAAACTGTTTCATTAACGAACTGTCACGCGTACAGGTTAATAGCCTTCTAAAATAGTTTCTCAAGAATTCCAAATCTTGGGAGTGCTAATAGTCATTGTATATTTCTCTTGATTATTGTAGAGTCAAGACACACTTTCAGTCATCAACTATCCACATATCTGGCCATCATCAGCTTATAATCTTATATCCAAACCAAAAAAAGGAAAAAAAAAGAAAGAAAGAAAAAAAAAAGGAGGCACATTTGTGTTTTGTTTATGACAAAAAATGTGGTCAATTGAAAAGAAACCTACTTGGGTCCTTAATGCATTACTGTGAAAAAGTTGAATAAGAACAGACTTCAAGATATGAATAAATAACTGTATAAGAGAAACTATCAAATACAACAAGAAATACACATATTTACCAGCTCCATCCAGGCAATATCTGAATCATAGTAGTCATTTGAAAGAAAGGCATCAGCCTTTCCATGCAGAAGCCTTTTTAAACTGCACAAGAAGAATAAGAAAATGGAACATAGATGATATCAGTGACTATAATTGCTAAAAAACAAAACAGAGAAACAAAAGGTATGAAACCAACTCACCTAGGTGAGGTGGCCAAATCTCCTGCTTTGTGCAATAGGTTTGCTGCTTTTCCAAGTAAGGAGTTATACTCCACTGAATATGGGATAGTATAAAGATCATGAGAGTAGTTTCTGTTGATTGTCGTATTGTTAGATTGTGAGGCATCAAACTGGGTTGCACTATGCCTTCTAATGACACTGAAAAAACCCATTGCTTCCCTCTTTTCATCCTCTGAAAGACTTTTTTCCCATAATTCAAATTCCTAATAACATCAAAAAAAAAAAGTTGACTGTTCACTTAAAGAATTAATGGCGTACGCACCAACAAGAAGGTAGCATATGCAATAGAATCTGGTTCTATACCATTTTGTCCATATCTGGAGGATAGAAACTTGCACCCTGTGGTTTTACAACAGGGAATGCCGTTTTATACTCAAGACCTTTCCATCCTGCTATTGGCTTTGCAGCAAGAGGAAGCAATCTGATTGCAGAGTCAGCAGTAGTCAGAAAAGCCTGATTTTCATCCAAGCAAGACCTACACAGTACCAAAAATATCAGCTCAGAAACGCAAAGTGTAATATATATAGCAATCTCTTTCATCTTCTTATATAATGGATCATTAACATTTTAAAGCTAATGATAGCAAATAAAATTTTTCCCAATTACTGCTTTTCAAGAACCTGAATAACATAATCATTGTTTTCACCATTTTTCAGCATTACTTTTCTGTGGTGTCCTTTTCTACATTCATGTATTGAATCTTGCAGCAATATGTAACACTTCTGTTATCTTCAGATAAGTCCAATTCACCAAATGTGACCCTCATCACCCTAATTGCATTACATTATCCAATACATGAATCTTGTACTACAAATTAGCTATTGCGTGTACATCTTTACACCTGCTAATTTGTGTCAGATCTCTTGTTTTTGTAAATTAAAGAAGGATGAAACACACACACACACACACCCACACACACACACCCCCTATGCAAACTGTTTCTACCTTCTTAGTATTTTCATATCTTCAAATATTTACATCATTTATTCAAGAGTTTTTTTCTTTTTCTTTTTTTTTTTTGAGGAAATGTTTAAGAGTTTAAGTTACTAACTTGCCCATTTTGGTTTTATTTTTTATTAATTTCTTGGTTCTATCAATTATATTTATTGCCTTTATTGCCATGTTCTCTCCAGTTCGTCTTCTGTTGTATCTCTTGACTAAAGTTGAAGTAGTTAAGAACAAACGAGAACTTAATTGATCATACTTGTGATGAAGACAGAATTCAGAGGGTAACAAGAGTAGATGAGGTATGATTTGGCATGTTCTGAAGGTGAAAAGTGAATTTAGATAGTGACTAAACTGGATGTGCCTTTAATTAGTGACTTTGTGGGAGGAACTCAGATTGGGAGGTTTTAGTAACTTCTAAATTTAATTGTTAAGGACATTAAGTAACAAATTTAAAACTGACTTCAGGTGTATGCGTGCAAGTGCTGTTTAGTAAAAAATATTATAGAGTCTGAGAATAGTCTAGGAATCCTGTTGCTGTTGGAAATTAAATTTGATAAGGAAATTAAAGGGTACATGCTATTATTATGGATTTAGGTTCAAATACTAAAATTGACGTTCAAACTCCTAGCTGGCACTAAAGAGAAGGAAACAAACCATGGGCTTTTGTTGACTTGGTAGTACTTCCACTTCAGCTTGTCCAGTTTAGATCCTTCAGCATGCTGCTTTAGCCAATCTCGTAAAGATGGATTGCTGAACCAAACCTGCAACGGCCAGATGAAATAAGAGTTCAACAACTATACTAAACCTCTATCACACTATGTCGGGTCATACTTGTGCACCAGTCGAAGTACAGATTGTCTTTTCCCTACTTTCACAGGTCCTTTCCAGTTCTATGTAAGTCTTCCTTTTCCCGTTTAAATTAAGTTGAAGATTTTAGATTTTCTACTTGACTAATTAGAGCATTAAAAAGGTCTCATAAACGTAGGTCCAAACCATGGTAAGTGTGATGCTCATGCATCAATTGGTGCTACCTAACTTTCTCACTAAAGTGCTCCATAACCTGTCTAATTTAAGGTGTCCACACACAACTCAACAGTCTTGTTTCCACTATCATTTTATACATTGCTTACTTAGTGCCCAATTACTCTGGTACATATGCCAGTTTCATAAACTAAAAATAAAAAATTCAATTTGAACACTAACAAAGTCATAAAGTATGGAGGATGCATCTCAATGAACCTAATTCTGTTCCATGTGTAATGTCCTTATCTTATTCCTGCCATTTTGTCAATGCTATGATGTGTAAAGATTAATTCTTACAGATGGTCCCCAGGCCCCACCGAAGTTGGGAGTATACTTGGTATGTTGTGATTGTATGTATCATCAGTTTTCTGATTACAGAAGTGGCACAGTAACACATTTAGATAGTAAAATCTCCCTCCAAGCTTTTCTAATGTGGTTCTACACCCTTTTTTAATCTCAACTACTAACATATATCGTCAGCAACACACATTCTGAATTGAGTTTATGCAAGTGCTCAATAACTTCATCAATGTTACCCCATTGGCATCCTTCCACATGTTAAGTCTTCAAATATGCAAGTGCTCCACTGAAGAGCAACTCTTACCCCTCTTTTCCCCAATAAGCACCATCTCATCATTTTGTGATTAACTCAATCACATGACAAAAATATCAAGTCACAGCCCGGGAACATAGTAGTAATGCACATAACAAATCATTTCTGAATAAGAGTTCTGTAAAGGCATGTCAGTATTTGTGAAGAAAAAGAGGGCAAAAAACTAGCCAACTCCAACTCTGAACATCAACACCAAGATTAACGTAGTATATTCATTTGATCGATCCTCCATTTACCATTTAGACATAGAAGAAGCCGAAACAATTAATAGTCCAAATCATTACTCAAAATAAGTGATTAGGCTAACTCCATCCCACATCCAAGTTGCTTCAGAGTTAGCAACATTATTGTCAAATAATTCCCAAAAGATTCAATTCAAAGGAAAAAAAAGAAAATTTTAAAAAAAAACATAGAAGAAAGGTTTTACATACAACCTGAAGATGAAAAATATCATCCAAGATTGTTGCAGCTCTAATGAGTAGTGTCAGGGCTTCCTTGTCTCCATCTGTAAGTACTGTTAACTGCACAGTTATGAAATATCAGTGAGGTTGATCTACAGGCAGGTCCATAGTTTTTCTTTGCTGAAACTATGGTACATAAGTTCATTCAATACATACACCACAAGGGAGGGAGAGGTTCCCAGAGATGAAACTAAACTGGTCAGATAAAAGGTGGCTTGATCTATTACTATTACATAGTTATCCTACTGGATAAATTTTATGCCCTTGTTTTAACTTGAAGGCTAATGATTCTCAGAAGAAGTGAACAGATAATGAAGTGTCCGTCTTTTTGCTTACATTGCATAAGGATATGTACACTATAATAGAAATAATAGTCCATGTATTATAAAATCAATCGAACTCTTAAACCAAGTCATCTTGGAAACAGTTTGAAGTTTGCTCAAGCACAAAGGGTGAACAAAATAAAGATTTTTTTTAAATACATTCTTACAAGTATTTCAAAATAAAAATTACAGAAGAAAATATCACAACTTGAGAAAGTATCATGATCACAAACTAATAAGCAGAATTGAATCATGCAGAATGATAAAATTAACATTTGATTTGCTGAAGACTAACTTGGCAGATAAAATGTTCTTAGCCTACCGATCCAAAGCTACACTTGGATTCACTGGTTTAAACATTCAATGTGAAATATGTGAGGAATTGGATGTGTGGGTAAATTCCTCTAGAAGAATATAGACTCCAGGAAATGATATTTCTGCATTACGGTATATTCAGAATACACAGAGTCTACTACATTTATCGGAAAAGGATAGGAGACAAATCCCTTCAATAAAGGATTAGTGATCCTAAATCCCTAACAATCAGGAATAGGATTAGATTTCTCCTATGATGCAGCTTTCCTTATTTATTTTAATCTTATCTACTCTTGACTTCCTTGATTTACTGACACTCCCCCTCAAGTTGGTGCATAAATATCTATCATGCCCAACTTGCTAATTTGAAACTCAAATGGTTGTCTCAAGAGACCCTTAGTTAGAACATCTGCAAGCTACTGTGTACTTGGGACAAATGGAGTGCATATTATTCCCTTTTCAAGTTTCTCCTTTATGAAATGTCTGTCAATCTCAACATGTTTTGTCCTATCATGTTGAACTGGATTATGAGCAATGTTGATAGCTGCTTTATTATCACCGTATAGTCTCATAGGAAACTGTACTGGCCTTCTAAGATCCCAAAGAACCCTTCTTAGCCAAAGAATCTCACACACTCCTTGTGCCATTGATCTGAATTCAGCCTCAGCACTACTTCTCGCAACTACACTTTGTTTCTTGCTCCTCCAAGTAACCAGGTTGCCCCAAAGAAAGGTGCAATATCCAGAAGTTGATCTTCTATCAGTGATAGATCCTGCCCAATCAGCATCTGTGTACACTTCAATCCCCCTCTTCTCATTTTTCTTGAAGTACAACCCTTTTCCTGGGGTGCCTTTTAAGTATTGAAATACTCGGTACGCTGCTTCAAGATGTTCTTTGCATGGTGGGTGCATAAACTGACTTACCACACTGACAGCTAAAGCAATATCAGGGCTATCAGGGCGTGTATGTAATAGGTAGATTAGTCTTCCAACCAGTCTTTGGTATCTTTCCTTATTTATTGGTATTCCATCTTCAAAATCTCCAAGTTTGACATTTACTTCAACTGGAGTATCAGCTGGTCTGCATCCACTCATTCCTGTCTCTTTTAAGAGATCCAAAATGTACTTCCGTTGAGAAATCACAATTCCCTTTTTTGATCTTGCCACTTCCATTCCAAGAAAGTACCTGAGTTGGCCTAAATCTTTGATCTCAAATTCCTTGGTCAGGTTTTGCTTTAGTTTATTCATTTCTTCCACATCATCTCCGGTCAAGATTATGTCATCTACGTAGACGATCAAAACTGAGATCTTCTCTTTAGTGCACACCTTTTTGAAAAGAATGTGATCAGATTGTCCTTGCATATATCCTTGACGTTTAAGAAACCTTGTGAACCTTTCAAACCAAGCTCATGGAGATTGTTTGAGTTCATATAAAGACTTCTTCAACCTGCAAACTTTTGTCCCATACTTATCATTGAAATCAGGTGGGGGTTCTATGTATACTTCTTCCTTCAAGTCTCCATTCAGAAAGGCATTCTTCACATCAAGTTGATTTAAAGGCCAGTCAAGATTTGCTGCAACAGAAAGAAGTATACGGACTGTGTTCAGCTTAGCCACAGGAGAAAATGTCTCGGAATAGTCCACTCCATATGTTTGAGTAAAGCCCTTAGCCACTAGGCGTGCCTTGCGTCTTTCCAAGGATCCATCTGAGTTGTATTTCAAGATAAACACCCATTTACAACCAACAACTGCCTTCCCATTCAGCAAGTCAACCTTTTCCCAAGTAGCATTCTTTTCCAAGGCTCTCACCTCCTCCAAAACAGCTTCCCTCCATTCAGGAATACTTAGGCCTCATGTATACTATTAGAAATGGACACACTAGACAATTGTGAAATAAAGGCAAAATATGGAGGTGAAATATTCTCATAAGAAACAAAATTTGACAAAGGATATTTTGTACAAGATCTAACACCTTTCCTTATGACAATGGGCAAATCAAGATGATTAGGAGAATTAGATTCTAAAGGAATTGTTGAAGATTCATGAGAAAGTCAGGTTCCACTACCTCATCAGATTGTTGGGGGTTGCAGTGGAATGGTGCCTTTCCCCTTCTTTGAATATACAAGACCTTTAAACCGTTTTGTGTTCATTTCCATAACTTCCACTGGTTTATGTTCAAAAGGCATTATCAATGGTTCATTAGTTTCTACTGATTTTTCATTTTCCAATGGTTTTGCATTTTCTTCCTCATGTGCTAATGATTGGTTGTGTAAAAGATCAACTAAGAAATCAGAATTATCAAAGAAACCATCTTCACTCTTATTGTTCTCCCCCTGAAGATGGGAATCACTAGAGTATGAGGTTCCTTCAAAAACAGTTACATCCATAGACGTAAACATCTTTTTCAAAACTGGATCAAAACATTTGTAACCTTTTTGATTGGTGGGATAGCCCACAAAAATTCATTTATGTGCCTTGGAATCAAGTTTGGAACGTTTAGGGTCATGATTATGAACAAAGGCCACACTTCCAAATATTTTTAAAGGGATGCCGGTAACCAGCCGACTATTTGGAAAATAATCAGAGAAAACCTGGATGGGTGTTTTAAAATGCAAAATTCGTGTAGGCATTCTATTGATCAAGTAGGTGGCTGTTAAAACAGCTTCCCCCAAAGGTACTTAGGAACTTTAGTTGTAAAACTTAGAGCTCTAGCAGCTTCAAGGAGATGTTTATTTTTTCCTTCAGCCACCACATTTTGTTGAGGTGTATTACCACACGAACTTTGATGCACAATTCCATTCTCCATGAAAAAATGTCCTAATTCATTGTTAAAGAACTCTTTCCCATTATCACTTCTGAAAATTTTGATTTGAGTCTGAAATTGTGCTTGAACCATTGTGTAAAAATTTTTGAAAACAGTTGCAACTTCAGATTTCTCTTTTAAAAGAAAGACCCAAGTGACTCTAGTATGATCATCAATGAAAGTGATAAACCAACGTTTTCCAGAAAGAGTTGGCATTCTTGAAGGACCCCAAACATCACTATGAATTAGAGTAAATGGTTCTAATTTTTTGTATGGCTGGGAGGGAAAAATTGCACGTTGGTGTTTTGCTAATTCACAAAATTCACACTGAAAAGCTAAAATCTTTTTATTCATAAATAACTTGGGAAACAAATGCTTCAAATACTGAAAGCTAGGATGTCCCAATCGATAATGCCATAACAATATGTCACTATCATTAGAAATAGAAATAGAATTTAAACATGTCTAATGGTCTTGCATTCCAAAGGATCCTTTATGGTGTAGGTAGAGGCCACCAACCTGTTTAGCATCCCCAATCATCTTTCCCGAGGTTAAATCCTGAAATTTACAGTTAGAAGACGAGAAAAGAACTTGGCAATTATGATCTCGGGTAAGTTTACTAACAGAAATAAGATTGTAGGAAAGATTAGGAACATGTAAAACATCTTTAAGAGTTAGAGAAGGAAAGACAGGGACAGTTCCTTTTCCTACAATAGAAGCAGAGGAACCATCAGCCATTTTCACTTTTTGATTCCCTACATAAGGTGCATAAGAAGAGAAAAATTGAGATTTTCCAGTCAAATGATTGGTGGCGCCTGAATCTAGGATCCAGTATTCATTTGAACTGGTACGAACAAGAAGAAGCGTGCGACATTTACCTGATTTAGCAAGAGAGTAGGATGGGGTAAAGGTTCCTATGGATTGAGATTGAAGCAACTTGTATAAGTGCTCCATTTGTTCCTTGGTGAAGGGAAGAGATTCCGAGGATGATTGCTGCCTTGGATTACAATTGCTTACTTGAAATGCATGAACTTCTCTCCCTGACTTGTTATCAAAGCCTTGTCTCTTCTTCAAGTTTGCAGGTTTGTCGTTCAACTTCCAGCAATTTTTCTGAATGTGCCATGGCTTTTTGCAATGATCACACCAAACCTTTTGTTTTCCTCCCCTTTTATCACCTTCCACATCTGCATTTCTTGCCACTAGGGTTGACCCTTCAACTTCAGCCTTTGTATCATTAATTTCTCTCAGCATCACTTTGTGCCGTGCTTCTTCTCGGCACACTTCTGAGAAAACTTCTCTGATAGAGGGTAGGGATTTTCTCCCTAGGATACGTCCTCGAACTTCATCTAGATCTTTGTTTAAACCAAGCCAGGAAAACAAATACCCGACTTGTTTCTACCTTCTTTGCATACCGAGCACTATCCCTAGGACTTTCCCACTCTTCTGCTTCAAACAAGTCCAGCTCTTGCCAAGTAGACATCGTCTCATAGTAATATGATGTCACTTCACGTTCACCTTGCTGCATCTTCCAGATTCGAGCATTTAACTCGAACAATTGTGAATGATTATCTAGATCTGAGTAGGTGTCTCTAACTACCTCCCAGACATCTTGGGCAGTCGACAAAAATAGGAAAGGTTTTCCAACCGCAGGATCCATAGAATTGATCAACCAGGCTGTGACCATTGAATTTTCTGATCGCCACTGCCTATATATTGGATCATTTGTGGCAGGGGCTTTATTTTCCCCATTCAAAAAACCAAGTTTCCCTTTGCCATCTACCACCAGACGTACAGACTGAGACCACTCTAGATAATTTTTCCATTCAACTTTTGATTGGTAATTTGAAGGGAATTTTCAGAAAGAGAAGGGTGAGAGCTTTGCTCTGAAGATGGTTCACTATTGTTAGAACCTACGGAGCCAACCATGGCAGCCTTAAAATTCATGATTGAGCCTGAAGCTCTGACACCATCTAGAAGAATATAGACTCCAGGAAATGATATTTCTGCTTTACAGTATATTCAGAATACACAGAGTCTACTAGATTTATAGGAAAAGGATAGGAAACAAATCCCTTCAATAAAGGATTAGTGATCCTAAATCCCTAACAATCAGGAATAGGATTAGATTTGTGATTATCCTCTATCAGATAAATCAGAATATAATCACAAATCGGAGATATCTCCAGTAAGGTATTGCCAAAACAAATCTTAGCAAGCTGGACATGATAAACATTCATGATTCAACTTGAAGGCATATAAGAATCCTTATGATTATAAAATTATTTTTAAGAATGATTGCTCTATTAGAGAAAATAATCAACATTGGTGATTGCACTACAGGATAACGGCAGATACCGAAACTGAGTCTAGGAGCTCTTTTAGAGACTTTTCTTTGTTTCCTTACTGCCCCAAGTGTCATAGATAGGGAATCATACTGTGCAGATCTAAGAAGAAGATGCATATTTTATAAATTAGTCTGCATTCAATTAAGACACAAGATTGTATTTGTTTTATTGTCAGGGTTACTACTATTCGGAAATGTTGTGTATTTTAAGACATTGAGATGGATATTAAAAGATATACAAAGAAAGCTAATGAGAATTTTCCCAGCAGGCCCGTTCTTCTTTTGCTATTTAATGAGCACAACCTTGATGCTTACAACAACTCATGATTAACAGAAATCACGTACAGTAATATTTGATTTTCAAACAGTCAACAAACCCTAAATTTCTAGATAAACTCATCTTTAGCACTCGATATCTACAAAAAATAGGTTAAACACTGAGGCTCAGTACAAAATGAAATAAAAATATCAACTTCAGCTGTAACGCAATCAACGATGGAGTACTCACAAGTGAAATCACATAAACAATACCTAGAAATCGAAAAACCACAGTTCAAGAGAAGGAAGTGAAAGGGATAGGAAAGTAACCTCTGAACTAAGAGAGACTTGAGCATAGCGGCTTAGCTGCTTTTCTAAACTTAAACAACGGCTTTCCAAATTTTCTTTGTACCTAAAAATAGTTCAAATAGGCAAAAACTTAAAGGAAAGTGATGACAGGAAGATGACTGAAAAGAGATGGAAAATATCACAGTAAATGGATGCAAACTAGTATCATGCTAAGAAAAGCTGTTTCCTTTGAGAATTTGACAAGAATGGAAAAACACACACACACACAAACACAAACATCCCTCAACCGACAGTTCAAGTCTTCATGGGTGACACTTTACATTTTTGAATGCTGAATATTCTCTTATAACAAAGCTTGGCACTCAATTCGTGTGACTAAACTAGCGCTCATTCTCACAGATTAATGAAAACTCCTTGTTCTCACAAAAAATAACCATTCTGTCCTTAATAAAACAAGAACTACTATTTGATATAAACATCTAAGAATCTGTGATGAAAAGGTAAAAGGATCAGAAAATTTTATTCTCCAAACTCACAAAATCTTCAGGAATAAGTAACGGCTCAATACACACACTGCTAAGTGGTTATCAGTGTTTCCCTGCATTATTTGCATTTCACTTTTCAATTTTCAGCTACAATTCAGAAGGAAGATGTATATTCATGTTCAAAGGGATTGAACATCCCTACATTATTCGCATTCTACTTTTTGATTTTCAGTTACAGTTCTGAAGGAAGCAGATTGAATATAGCTGACAGCAATTAGTAGGATAAAGGCTTATTGTTCTCATCGACCTACATATATTACGATATCTATTGTGACAAACATGCACAAGTCCATCGAACTAATTAGAGCTGATATCTAACCCCTATGAAGGAAAGAAACAAAAAAATTTTGACGTGAAATTATAGGATAATCACTACAAGTTTAAAAAATAAAATAAAACAATATAAATTAAAAATATTTTACAAAAAAACAAGTTTAAACGTAGAAAAAACCTTTTCGTGATCATTCCAAATTAAGAATTAAGAGACAAGACAACAATCTAAGAATCTATGAAGATGTATCAGTTACAGAGTGAGAAGACAACAACCAAAGTTAAATGTCTTATAGAAATACCTTTTCCTAATTGTTTCGAATAGTTGGCCATATTCACCATTAACATCATAGGGCACATACTCAGGATCTTCATTAGCAAGCAAATTTCTATACTCCTCAAAGGAGATATATTTGACAGCTGAAACTTCTGATTCCTGCAAAGAAGAACATGATAAACAATTTTCACATTTCTCAAGTGCAGTAAAACACAAAATGTGAACATTTCTGTTATTATAGACGAAAGAATAACTTGTGATAACTGCAAAAATACTCTGGAAACTCCATGAAATACTTTTGCATCAAACATATTTTTAAAAATACTATCTCAAAAGCTTCATACTGCATAAAACAAAATGTTAAACATAAATGATCACAGAATGATTCAGGCGTCTTTTCGTGTTTTCCCGGATATTAATTGCAAGAACTGGGGCTTCTCAAATGTAATATGGTTCTAAGAGAGTGCTGATGTTGCAATAGCTGAAAACATTGTCAAAGAGTTGGTAGGCAGGCTTGTTACACTATAAAGATTGGCATCAGACAAAATGGAACTGTGGAAGATGAGATCCAGTAGATGCCGGGGACAAATTTAAATCAGTGGATGGCACGCCAGAGGCAAGGTTGCGTTAATGGTGCTCAGGAGTTTACTCCACTTAATAAAGCTAGAAACAGGTTGCATTTTGAGATTGTTTGGAAACTATATGCTTCTAAGAAGGATGCTATCCGAAACGGGAGAAAATGCATAGATAAATCCATGGTAACATAACATTTTCGATGATCAGGCTGGTCAAAAGCAAGCTCGGAAAGTTAAACGAGAGAACAATTTGCTTAAACAAATGTTTCAGTTTATAAGACTACTTTTTGGGAATAATCTAGGAGACTAGGACTGGTCCTAAATTTTTCAGCCCCAAGCTTCGCAATTTGTATCCTTGATGTTATATACAAAACTCATATCCAGTTTCACATTCCTTTGAACCTACACTATTCAAAATTGTAGTTCCTCTGCCTTCTCCTGAACCAGATAATAATTTTCATTGCTTGTAGCTACTCAGTTACACTTAGGTTAAATAAAAGTTTATGCCACATGATCCCTAAGAGAAATTCCAGTTGAGAATAATTCAAAAGACCACTAGAAAGCCCTCAATTTTCCAGTTACACTTAGTTTAAATAAAAGTTTATCCCACACGAGACCTATGAGAACATCCAATTGAAAATAGTTCAACAGACCACTAGAAAGCCTCACTATACTGATAGAGTTTGTCTGCGACAAAATGCAGATGCTCACTGGAACGGCACAACTTTTTAAAGAGTTTAAACTTTAAGATCTAAAGGAGTAATTTACTACAGAGTACATAATTTTCAACTGGCATCTTTCTTCTCTTTGTGGATCAATAACCATATCAATAAGGATGTTGAAAAGCTAAAGTGGACTCCTTTTAACCTTTAGGACAAGAAATCAAAGTGAAATGTTTTCAGGGATGGATATAGTAATATTTGAACATTAATCAGAAACACTAAAATTACTTCAGAACAGAACCAAAATTGGCAGAAAAAGTGAATTGACTGCTTAGCGTTTTAATAGTTTCAGAACATGATCCCATGCAGACCTGAAGAGTAAAAGCCTCCAAGGGAATTGGATCCAGTGTTGTGACAAGATATACATCATTGTACTCATTGTTGATAAATGTGCCATCATTTGTAACACTGCAATCAAATGTAAATTTTGCAGTGAGAAATCTATTGTTTCCATTACTGTGTGAAAATGGCATCAATTTTCATATAGAATTTAAAAGCAGATCCAAATCTGCTCTAATAATACGCCAAAATATTTCATCATAAAGTCTGTACCACCTATCGGGGTCTCCAATGTAAACCTGTCTAAAGTAGTTATTACTTAAGACCTTCATCTCTATGCTTTAGAACATGGACGTTTAATACACCTAGACTTACAAAATCTCTATGGGAAAACACAAGCAGAAAGTTGAAAATTCATATTGAGACAAAGACCATGTGAACTATAATACAGAAAAACAATCTAAGCAGATTTGGATCATGTCACCTTCAAGCTCTATCAATTAGCAGATTCCAATCACCCGATGAACTACTTGCCCACGTTAATAACCTCTCTTTTTTTTGGAAAAAGTAAATTTTATTGATAGCTAAAGCACTTTACTTCTTCTGTACATATAAGCCTACATTGCTTTCTATTACACTTTCAATGCTTTCCTTCGAACATTATGCTTAAACTTTCCAAAAAATGTTCTTCCTTCCTGGCCTTATTACAACAAAACTGCACGCACAACTTTATCTCATGTATTCTCTCTTGAACCCTCTTCAACTGGTTTAGTAATGTTCTGAAATTTCCCCAAGTTACGCTCATTCCATATATGATAAACACAAGCTACTATGATCGAAAACACTGTTCCTTTTGATAGGGCTATATCTCTAAATTTTCAGCAATGTATTTGTGCTCTCCATCAACAGTTTAGGTAGAAGATTCTGAACTCCTTGCAGTATCTCTTGTGCATATTTGCACATAAAAAAATAGATGCTCTGTCGATTCTTCTTTACTGTCGCACATTTCACATTTCAGTTCTGAAATATTAATCTTCATTTCCAGCAATCTTTCTTGAGTCAGAAGCTTATTTTTCAAACTAACCAATGTAACTCTGCTTTGGAAAGCAGAATCTGCTCCATATAAATGTTGCTTCTTTCATAGGTTGTTGCTCACCTCTAAACCAATTATACCCACTTTTAGTGGAACATTTTTTTTCCGTTCCCGAAACCATCCATTCACCATTGTTCACTCCAGGTTTCATCATATCCTTGATTGCTCACCTCTAAACCAATTATACCCACCTTAATAGCTTGGCAAAGTGCACAACTAAAAAGTATCCTTTTATCCCAACAAGGTATTTTAGATTTTCAGTTACACTGATTTTTTATGTTTTTCAGCTACATTGATTTTACATACAGTACACTTAGAATCATAGGAGATCTATTTGTGTTTCATTCTACTGGTTTACTGCAAGATTCCTTACCTCATCACTGATCACCCTAAGACTATAAAGGCTACCCATTGAACGACTTTATTTTTGAGTAATCCAGTGGGTTCTTTATGATCCATCTCGCATATACTTTTTGCAATCATTTGCACTATTGTCTTGCATTGGCAGAACCCATTGGCATAAAATTCTTAAAATCGTAAGGAACTCACAGAGACAAAGCATTCGAATGGCCAGATTTGGTAATGTAAAAGAATGCATCACCACGATTAGAAAGAAATATAAGAGAAAATGACATGCACCGCATACAACATAAATGCAATTTGGTGATAATATTTTTCCCCTATGGACAAAGACCTTCAGTGTTTCTCCAGAAGCACAAAAGGTGTAAGATCAGGCTCCATGTTCATCCTCTTTTCTAGTATATGATTTAAGCTGATTACATAAGCCAAGAAAGAAGATAAACACTCACACACACACACATGCACGCACAAGAAAGAGGAGAGAGATCACTAAACAACTAACATATATATTTATGCTTTACTTTCTTGGACATTTGCTAGAAATCATTCCTGAGTTTATCCTAGTTTAATCCTCTTATGTTCCTCCTACTCAAGTACTCACACAAGGTATTACGGAAAAGAAAAACAACATCAACCTTAACAACTACTTCCTGAAGCATAAAAGTTCTCATGAATCAAAACGAAGAAAACAATAACAGACCAACAACAGCAGCTATGCTGCTAATACTCTATCTGAGGCTGGCTGAGAGGATCATACAACAAACCCAAGAATTCAAGTTTTTGCCACAGTATGCAGTTCACATATTTGCAACAAAAAGAAGAGAAATTTATTCATTTTAGAGCAAAGTGTAATGCATCCGATAACAAAAACTTTGACATGCTGCATCTACTAACCATTCTTGAAGGAAAACAAATATCAACTCGAAGGCATCCATAGGAAGAGCTATACCGAGTTCTTCATGAAGCTCCCTCCTGCAGGCAAGCAAAATATACTTATCAATTACAAGAAAGACTGGTAAAATCTATATATCAAGCTGAAAGAGACTGTAAAATTCAATGAGCACATAAGCGTGCATGCATTCCTAGCATGTATCAACTTAGGCATAAATTAACATACATTGCAGAAATGAGGGAAGAATCTCCAGCGGATATGTGACCAGCACTAGATATATCCCACAAACCAGGCCATGAATCCTTGCAGTCAGCACGCCGTTGGACGAGTAATTCTTGAGTACGCTCAGCATAGATCCAGACATGAACAGCTCGGTGGTAGTCCCCATCTCTATGAATGTCTCCCCTAAAAGGGTAACAATGAAAAGGAATTCAAAACCAACCTAAATAGAGATTCCTTTGTAGATGTGAACTTGCAAGCCCGTACACTCCATCCGTGCCACAATTAATGTCCATAAGCAGTTCATAAAATTAGGTAACAATAATTTTGCAGAAGTGATTCAAATGCAACTAAATAACACTGATATGAAGATGTCAATGCAAGATGCACAAAAATATTGTGTCATAAACCAAAGTGGAATAACTGGCACTGAACTTGAACCCATCTACTACGGAAATTGAGCTGCGTTAAATGGTCTAGACCACGAAACAAACTAGAGTCAGAATATTTGCAAAAACTGCAAAATTTCAATGCGTAGTCGTGTACGGCCATATACTAGAAGTAGCTTCTTATCTGAACAAACAAAATCAAAGCTAGACAACAAGCCTTAGCAGTTATATATTTATAGAGTGAAGCCAAGTGTGGCCAATTATAAGCAATGTGCATCCTTGTAAACACTGATCCTCTTTCAGTATGTCAAAAATTTCTGAAATCAAGAGTGCTTCCAGCAGATATCAAAAGCATTTCAAACAGATAACTTTATAATAAGACTAACAACAACAAAACAAATGCTGTAATCACCCCCTCAAATGTTATTTAAACATCGGTATGGGAGTTGGTCTATTTAACTATTCATGTAAGCGTACCAACTCTTTTCAACAGGTGGGATAACAGCATTTATCACTGAAATTTTGATGCAATTCCGTAACTTTAAAATTTCCGGGATTTTCAAGAAAACACCCAAAAGAATCTTGTTTTATGAAATTTTCTACTTTGGGACGTCAGATTGTTCACTATTTCGAAAAAAGGAAGAAAGAATGGTCACCTGGGCTTTGAGATGCCAGTTTTTTCACCAGTTTTGGTGAGAACATCAAGATACTCTACTTGTTTCAGTTCTTCATGCTCTGTTCCAGCAGCCATTGCTCTTCAAATAAGCAAAAACGAAAAAGCAAAAAAAAAAAAAAACACCAGGGTTGGACGATCAAGACCTTCAGAAGAAGATTTGAAAAGCCTCAACGACTAATTCCAACTGAATACAAATGGGTTTTCGTTTTCGACACTGACATCAAACAAATCACCAGGTCAGAGAAAAAGATGGTTTGTTTGACCCTAGAATTTTGACTTCGGTTTCTCACCTAAAAGGAACCTTTTTTTTCTTTTTCGCCGTTGGTCTAGTTTATTTAGGAAATTAAATCTACCACCTTCTATTTATGAAAGCTTGTCAAAACAACCCACAACCTCTATACTCTTCATCAATTCTGCTCTGATTTTTTTCTTTATTTCTTTTTTTCTTTTATTGGGTCGCAAATTCTCCAGGTCGTTCGGCAAAAAAAATTTGAAAGAATTGCTGTGAAAAAAAAAAAAAAATTTTCTTTTTGTAGATACAAGTAATTGTCCCGGATTTGACAAATCCGAAAGTCTAATTAAACAGTCTCTCGAATTTGTCAAATCCGACACTATTTAATATAATCAAAAGTTAAATTTTTTTATATCTCGAAAATAACGGAAAATAAGGTCAAAAGGTAAACAGTGCATTCGGATTTCTCATATCTGAATACATTTAAATATAATATTAAAATAATACAACAATAGTGGCGAGCAAATTCAAAAACTGGAACAAAACCTTCGGATTTGGCAAATCCGAGGTCAGCCAACTATAATAATAAAATAATACAACAGAAGTGGCGGGCAAATTCAAAAACTGGAACAGTACCTTCGGATTTGTGAAATCCGAGTTCATCCAACTATAATATTAAAATAATACAACACGATTGGCGGGCAAAGTAAAAAATTGGAACAGCGCCTTCGGATTTGGCGAATCTGAATGCTAGGGTTTAGGGTTTAGGGTTTCCTTTCGGATTTGCCAAATCCGAATGAATCCATTCAGCGTAATTGTAATCCGTCCTTGTGGATAAGATTGTTGATATATTAAATTGGATCAGATAAGATGACGGCCTTTCGGATTTGCCAAATCCGAGAGCCTCATATAATAGTGACTCTCGGATTTGGCAAATCCGAAACTACGGGACTATAAAAAGAAAAAGTTGCAGCTTCCCTTCAGATTGGAGTTTTCAATTTTGGAGGGTTAGGGAAGGTTGTGGCCGGAGTTCTTCAGGATTTTGGATGCACATTACCACGCTAATTCGTGTGGAATCGTTATTCTAACGAGATTAGTCATTAAATAAATATTTTTTTAGTTGTTTTGTTGTGTATTTATGTTGTTTTGAAGGTGGAAGATTGGTAGAGCTTAAGATTGATGATTGTGAATGTAATATGGTAATGTAGATGTTGTTGTTGAGTTTATAGGCTAGGATTGTTGTTGTTTTAAGAATTAATAGTGGTTAATTTGATTAATTTGGATGGATTTTGTTTGTATGGATAATTGATAGAATTAAGGGATAATTTGTATGGATAATTTAATGAGAAAGGAGTTATTGTTTTTTTTTTGTTGGTGAGAATTGTTGTTGTTGTTTTTTTTTTTTTTTAGGTGAGAATTGTTGTTGTTGTTGTTTTCTTTTTAGTTGAGAATTGTTTTTTTTTTTTAGGTGAGATTACTATTAATATAGTCAACGATTTTTTTTGGTCCCTTCATAAACAGTTAAAATGTCCGCGCACGGGCTATACATGCTTAATTTGTTTCATAGAAGCAAGTATGTGATAGAAAATGGTGTAGTGAACACATTTGAGAACAAGTCGGACGACACTTTGTTATTGATAGTAGGTTGTCATATGATGAGTTGCTTGGTTTGATTTGTGTGGCGTTCGGTTGGAATCTTGAAATATCTAGGAAACTCCACATTTCTGTTAATCTTTGTGACTCACAGAGTAAGGCGCGCCATGAAGATAAAGAATGATTCACATGGTATCATCTACCACCTCGAGCCAATGACAAGTGAGGATTTGTACATAGACACGAAGGATATTACTAACTAAGAAGGTAGAAACAATCATTATGGTGGATCTTTCTTTGCACAAGAAGATCACATGGATGAGGGTGAACAAGATGGTCCAAGGCAAGAACAAGCAAGTACTTCACGGGTTCATGAAAAGTTGGTGGAAGTTTATTTGCCGATGATGATCCCATGGATGAGAATGATTCCGACTACGTAGCTCCAAGCAAAAGCCCGGAAGAACGCGATCCTAGTGATGATGAGGAATTGATGATGAAGATTTGGTGAATGAAGAAATGGAACTAAATCTATTTTTCCGGTGCCATGTGTATAAGGAAATGGGTGATTGGAATGCGTCGCGAGTTTAAAATGATGATCTTGATATAAAAATGTGGGACGAGACTCCCGAAGTGATGGGCATTAAAGTTTGTTTCAAGTCTCAAGGAGAAGCGAAACATGCCGTGAAGTTGTGGAACATCCACCATAGGAGTTAAAGGCTATCACGAGTAATCCTAAGACATGGGCGGTTTGATGTAGGACATTAGATTCCCCCCCTCCCGAAGATGGCAAACCTATTTGCAAATGGAGGATCCGCGTGTCACTAGGAAAGTATGGGTTGCATCAAATAGTCAAATGGCGGTCCGCACACAATTGCGTGAAGGTGGTTAATGATAATGACAACCGTTGTGTGGATTCGACATTCATTGCTAGACTAATCATGAGAAAACTTCAAAAGAACGTGGATTACACGGTGAAAGATGTGCAAGAAGATGTGAAGGAGTTGGTAAAAGTTGATGTCCCCTACAAAAGGGCGTGGAACGGGAGGAGGAAAGTCATAGAGGCGGTTTATGGCGATTGGTCCTCCAATTTTGAAGATCTTCCTAGGTAAATTTCAATTTTGATAAATGTCAATTAATTTGTTTTAGTTTTTACTTGTATTGGTATATAATAACTCGGGCAAACTTGATGTGTAGGTATATTGAAGCACTTAAGAGTACTAATCGCGAAACTGTACTGGAATGGGAATGGAAGGAGGGACAAGAAGGTTGGAATATGGAAAGGACTTTTAAAAATATTTTTTGGTCATTTGCACCAGTGGCTGGGACTTTTAAGGAATGTCCGCCGGTAGTTTCTATTGATGGAACACACCTACGTAGGGGATACAAGGGTAAGTTGCTAGTTACTGTGGTGTATACTGCAAACAAACACATTTTACCGGTTGCATTCGCCGTGATAGATGAAGAGACCACTGAAAGTTGGGCATTTTTCATGACACATTTGAGGTATCATGTTGTGGGTGACACCAAAGTTTGTGTGATTTCCGACCGGAACGCTGGGCTTTTGAGGGCAATGTTGGAAATACCAGAATGGTGGAAATACCATAATGGAGCAATTTAGGTGATGAGGCCCACCTGTATTGCCTCCGGCACGTTCGGAGCAATCTAGTGTCGAAGTACAAGAGTGCCAAAATCAAGCGGTTATGCCAATGGATGGGGAAGACGCTTAATTTGGAAAAATACAAGCGATTGAGGCTAGAGCTCTCCGAATTCAAACCTGAAGCATGGGAGTATCTTCGTGACATAGGGGAGTGTAATTGGACTGGTTTGAAAGCCAGATGTCATCGTCGGGGAGTCACCACTACCAACATTTCTGAGAGTTACGACAATGCCTTAAAAGGGATCCGGTTTTTGCCCATTAGAGCTATGATCGATCCTACATTCCACAAAACCGTGAAATTTTACCGAGAAAAATTGTTATTGGCGACGAGTTGTGATACGGCCATCCCCACTGAGCTATGGAAAGTCTACACAAAGAAGAATGACAAAGCCGCCACTTATGTAGCTCGACCGTTCGATGGCGACGGAGAACGTTGGGAGGGGATAACGCCAACATGGGCTAGTGGGAGGGGTGGAACGGTGTATACGGTCAACTGTAACGCCAAAAAGTGTTCATGCAAGAAATGGTAAGAGTACCGGATGCCGTGTACACACGCACTTATAGTCGCACGTAAAAAAGGTGATCGACATGTTTCCATATACCATAAATGTTGGAGGAGCCAAACATGGATCAAACAATTCGAATACAATAGTTTTTCACCGGTGCCTAATAAGCGACAATGGCCTCTAGTTGATTGGCAACTCTATCCTAATTACGAGAAACTCGTGCAAAATGGCAGTCCGGGCCGACACCAAAGAAGGAGATGCAAGATGCAAATGGATTACCGTGGTCGGCGAACAAGTAATGCAAATGAATTACCTTGCTCGAGATGCGGAGGAGATCACGATGCTAATTCGTGTCTTCACTCGCATCCCCAAGTAGATAGAACACGTTTGGTGGATGAATGAGAGCATTAAAGTGATTAGTTTGTTGTTGTATTTTGAATTGTAATCTTTTGGATTGAATTCGTATCTTGTTTGATGTTTGGATTGAACTATTAATGTACTAGTATAATGTATAGTGTGGTGCTTTGGGTGTGATTGAAATTGATGAATGTTTACAGGTTTAGGCATTGGTAATACAAAATTTTCCATTTTTCAATTTGTATAACTTTCGGATTTTGGAAATCTGAGAGTTACCAAATATTGCAATTTGTATAGTTTTCGGTTTACGTAAATCCGAAACGTACCAAAATAGACTGAGAATTCTCTCGGATTTGTGTAATCCGAGTTCAATACAAAAGGGAGAGACTCGGATTTAGCTAATCTGAAAGTCACCGCAGAGGACAAAAGCATCCGAGAGTGGACAATTTCAGAGAAATAGGGGAGACTCGGATTTTGCAAATCCGAGTCAATCGGGGGTATAAATAGGTTGACCTTCTTCCCCCAATTCATTTTCAGACAACCCTAATTCTTTTTTTCTTCCCACCGGCGAATCCACCATCCGCCACGACTCCATCCGCCCCCGACCATCAATTTCAGCCACTGCCGCCGTTCCCCCGTCACTGCCAGTCCTTCCTCCATCCACTGCCGCCGCAACTGCCGCTGTTTTGGTCTTCCACTGCCGCGAATTGTGGACTCCACTGCCGCTGCCGGTCCAGTCCACTCCACCGGCGCTTCCCATCGTCCTCCCTCTCTCCACCGCGTCAGCCGCCGTAGCAACTACAAAGGTAACAAACTTTGCCCTAAGTTTTTCCCTAATTTAATTTTGCCCTAATTTTTTTTTTCAATTGTTGTGCCTAGGGTAATTCGAGTGATGAAATACACTATTTTTGGTTGTAATTGTGAATAATATATTGACATGAGGGTGATTAGTTATTTTGTACTCTCTAATTGTTGGAATTACTAAATCGAGGGATTGTTTTGTTGAGTTTTTTTTTTTTTTTTGTATTTTGAGTTTGTATTTATTTAAATTGGATTGTTTGAAAGTTTGGTTGTAAGTGAGCCACAAGTTTGGTTATGTTGTGTTGAAATTGAGGCCTCCTTTTTTTTTTTTAAAGGAACATGCATGTATATATATATATATATATATATATATATATATATATATTTAAGGAACATGCATATATATTGGATGGTTCAATCACATTATTTTGTGTTGAAATTTAATTGAAAGTGTTGAGTTTGGTGATTATTTGAGGATAATGTATAATCAACTCAAGCATGCATGTATTTTATTTATTTATTTTTTTTTGTATTTTGAGTTTGTATGTTGTTTAAATTGGATTGTTTGAAAGTTTGGTTGTAATTGAGCCACACGTTTGGTTATGTTGTGCTGAAATTGAGGCTTTATTTTATTTTTTTTTAAAGGGACATGCATGTATATATATATATATATATATATATATTTTAAGGAACATGCATATATGTTAGATGGTTCAATCACATTATTTTGTCTTAAATTTAATTGAAAGTGTTGGATTTGGTGATTATTGAGCCCTATTCGATTGTTTAAATTGGTTTTAGTGATGGTGTAGGTATCCATGTCGAATCCATCCGGTTCACAATATAAAGCCAAGTATGTTCAACCAGGTCCTATTTTTGATACACTATTGTATCTTCAACATGAACACCAAAGTTTATCAGGGTACCATGGCGACGACCCCTCCATGAAGACCGAACCTTTAAAAGGGCGTAGGTTTGACCAAAAGTTTTGGGAATACTATTATGGTAATACTACCACTCCAGAAGTACGAGCGCTCATGGGGTCCGCTGGGTTCGAAGGGATATTGAAAATAGGGTGGAAAAAGTGTGATAATTGTCTCATCACCGCATTGGTAGAACGATGGAGACCGGAGACACACACTTTTCACTTCCCATTTGGAGAGGCAACCGTGACGTTGCAAGACGTGGAGGTCCTCTTTGGTCTTCGGGTCAATGACGACATGGTTTATCGTGTTGCGCCTAACAATCCCGAGGCAAAATGACAATTAATATGCCAAGACATGTCGGGATTCACCCCTGCAGCGGGTCGAATTGTGGGAAATACACTTAAGATTTCCGTTATAGAGGTAGCAGCGCTCCATTCAATCCCTGAAGGTAATTAATTAATTATTTATTTATTTTTAAATATTTTGAATTACCAACTTATATTGAAAAGAATGTAAAGATTTGATGTGTTGTATTTTTGTAGGTTCTCCAGAGATTGTGTATATACAAAGGGCCCGATTATTGCTCTTGTGGTTTATGGGTTGTTTTATGTTTCCGGACAAGAGCCAAAACAGTGTTGGTTTATATTTATTGAACCATTTGGCGGATTTCGCAACTTGTGCAAAGCTTAGTTGGGGATGGCTCTCCTTGCTTACATGTACTCGGGAATGTGCGAGGCTAGTAAATACGACAAACGTGATATAACCGATTGTGGATATCTTCTATAGGTATAAACTTTTAAATAATACGTGTGAATTCAATTTTTGACTATTTATACCCGTTTAAATTAATACTATTTATGGTGTTACTTTGTTGATTTATGTTTGGGCATATGAGCGGATCCAAAGAATCGAGCCCCAAAGATTATTAAAGAATTTTGAAGAGGATCCTACCGCTCCTTTAGCTCATCGGTGAGTTTTTTTTTTATTTACACCAATTAGTATTAAGATTACTAATAATATTTTTTTTTCCAAAAATAACACTTTTGAATTTCTTGTATTGAAAGGTGGAATTGCAACTACTCCTACAAGGACGTCCCAAGGACTAGCCTCCCAGGTTTTAGAGATCAATTGACTGCCTTATGTGCAACCGACGTGAGCATGAATAACTTATTTTTTTTATTTTTCTTTTTCCATTTTTGACCCCCATTTTTTTGTGAGTTAATTCGTTACTTTCCAATGTTTTCACAGTTTCTTTGGCAACCCTATGAGGATCTTCTTCCATCCCTCCCTAATTGTTGTAAACAAGGTAGTAGGATTTGGATGTCAAGGTTGTGGATGGTCTATTGGGCAATCCGAGAACCCCACGAAATTGACAGGGTCGTGAGACAGTTTGGGTATGTTCAACAAGTGCTTGGAATTCCTATAATTGTTGATATCGCCGTGGATAGGGAGGCTCACGAGCACAACATGTAAGGGCTAACCGATAAAAACTGGGTGGATCACCATCGCAATTCACACCTGCATTGGAATAGGAGAATCCGACACATTCCTACGAATTTGGTGGAATGAGAGCCTGGCTAAACTTCGGACGACTACGACAAGTGGTTCAACAATAATTCGGTGAAATTGATATTTGATCCAAAAAATTATACACCGGTCGGATATGAGTCTTCCTCGATCCAGGTGAAAGTATATGTAAGTGTTTATTATTTACAATTAATAGTTTATTTTAATTTTTTTTTCTCAAAATTGCTAATTATATTGTTTCTTTAATAGTATTTATTTACAATTAATAGTTTACTTTAATCTATTTCTCCAAGCTGAAGTACTGAACAATATCTGCGTTAAGGCCATGACATTTCGAGAAGACCGTCGTGACGCTGTTGACCTAGAGATCGACCTCGAACAGGTGCTCGATGAGATCGTGGATCAAACTCACGCGGTCTTACCTCTTGGCAAAGATGATGAGATGGATATTGAGGATAGCCAAATCCTCAAGGATTTTCAACCTTCTCGACCCAAACCACCTCCCGGGCTAAAACAATGAAACCGTGGCCGAAAGACAAAATTGAGGGAGAAAGAAAGCGAAAGATGGGGAATCCATTCGGGCCTTCTCAATCGCATTATCACGCGGAAAGTTCGAGCCACCCCGAGCAAGAGAATGTGGGAGGAGGGGAGGATGTGGTGGGAGAGAATATGGGAGGAGGGGAGGATGGTGGAGGAGAGGATGTGGGAGGAGGGGAGGATGTTGGAGGAGAGAATGTGAGAGGATGGGAGGATGTTGGTTCTTCTCTCGGATCTCACTCCCTACACGAAGATTATCCACTCCTCACCATTACACTAGGAGACCCCTTGCAAGTTCTAAATGTGGTGCCACTTGATACTATTAGGCCACAAACGGAGGAACCAATTGTTCGCAAATCCAACAAGTCGCGCCACGCGATGCTTAAATACACCCCGCCAACTATTCCTAAGAGAGGAAAACAAATCATGTAGATTAGTATTTTTTAGATTCTTGGATGATTTTGTATGAATTTTAGAATATTTTCTATTTGAATGTTATGAGAATGTTGTTGTTCTGTTATTGGTTCATTTCTCTGCTGTATTGTGGTGTTGATACTGTTTAAACAGGTTTAGGACTGGTGAAAACCAGTCCAATATTTTTTTGTATTAAATGGTAACCCTCGGATTTGCCAAATCCGAGACTTACCATTTTGTACATCTCTCGGATTTGCGTAATCCGAGAGTCGCTGCAGAAAAATGCATCCGGGAGCGGACAATTTTAGAGAAACAGGGGAGACTCGAATTTGCCAAATCCGAGACACATGCTCTCGGATTTGCGTAATCAGATACTCTTCCACCTCATTTTCAACACTTCGATTTTTTTTTTCCCGAAAAATAAAACATATTTTATTCCAGAGATTCGGATTAATGGAATCCGAGAGTATAGTCTCGAATTAGCCTAGTCCGTTTCTAGTCAACTTTAATTTTCAAATACTTTGATTTTTTTGTTAAAAACTAAATTATTTTTTTATTGTAGACTTTCGAATTATCCAAATCCGACACATGGTTAATTTTAATTAATCCTTTGGTTAAATTTAAATATTTTTTTGTTAACATTATTTCGGATAACGTTTATCCGAGGTTAAGCCCTTTCGGATTTGACAAATCCGATTGCTTTGTTCTTTCGGATTTGCCAAATCCGGGACAACTACTTATGTTCACCCAATTTTCGTTTGTTTTAATTTTTATCCACTTTTTTCTTGGATAATTTTTTGGGTAAAAAACTCCAAATTCTCCTTCCTTGTCACAACTCAAAACTCACATAAAGAATTCATGTTGTAACATAAGCACAAATGGAATAAAATCAGAATGCTTATGATACAAATGCAGAACATCCTTTTTAATGTAAAACATGAGTGGCTTGTCCCTAATGACTTTCAGAAGGTAGAAGAAAAGACTAATTTTTTGCTCAAATTTCCAGTTGATCAGACATGATTGGAGTTAAATTACTTAGTCTTTCTATACTCCCAAAATTTTTGCATTCGTCATTGCTATTAACGTTTGGAAAATGATATATATAGTGAATAAAAATAGTGACAAAATATAGTGACTGATGTAAATTAATCATGACCCCTAGTTTTTTTTATACTTTTCCGTTGAAGTTTTATTTTTCCCCCGAAATTATTTTTATCCTTAATTAATAAATAGACATGTTAAAATGGTAAACTACATGCTGTACCTAACCAAAAGGTGATGGCATTAGCATCAGTTTTCCCTTTCATTTAGACATTAAAATTGGCCTTTAGTATTTTCATTTTGTACCTCGTAAAGTGAGGTACATTATTTATTTTCGGTCTTTAAACTTTAACAGCAATGATACATCCAATGACTAAATACAGTGAAAACATATAGTGACAAATGAAAAAACAAATATAGCATCCACTTACTAAACAAACAATTCAATTTTTGACGATTTTGCCCCTGAACCCTTTCTATTCTCCCTTTCTTCTTCACCTTCCTCATTTCTTCTTTCTATTTTTCTCCTTCTCCAACTTCATGTTTTCTTCCTTTTTATCAAATTTTAAATTCAAATTTACTAAAATCAAAGTTTAAAAAATGACAGAATAAGACACACAATCACAGGAAGGAACACCATCGATACCTGTAAATTTTTTTGCCCCCAAATCCTATTTTAAAATTTTTTTAAAAAAAAACTGACTGTCCAAGCTGGCTGACCCGACCGGCGGTCAGCCCGGGAACCTTGGCCAGTGAGAAATCCAGCCAAGGATAGAAGATTGGCCGGGTCAGAGACCGGCCAATCATAGCCGGCCACTATTCTATGATTGGTCGGTCCCTGACCCGACCAATCTTCTACCCTTGGCCGGATTTCTCACCGGCCAAGGTTCTCGGGCTGACCGCCGGTCGGGTCGGCCAGCCTGGGCAGCTTTTTTTTTTCAAATTTTTTTGTTGTTTTATTTTTATTTTTTTTGTTGTAATTTTGTTGTTATAATTAATTTAGTAAAATTTATTTATAATTAATGTAATTAGTTGTTGTATTATTGTTTGATTAATTTAGTTAAATTTATATATAATTAATGTAATTAGTTGTTGAATGTTGTGTTATTATTTTTTATATGTCATTTAATTTTTTTTTGTGCCTTAGTAACATGTTTAATTTAATTTATTAGGTATAATTTGTTTATTTTAATAATTAGTGTAGATTAGGTATGTGGTATATATCTGTTTAATTTAATTAAATTTATATTTGTATGTGGTATTTAGTTAGTATTAATTTTTAGGTTTTAATAATTAATTATTGTTTACATAAATGAATCTGTTATTTTGTTATGCATATTGTATTTTTTAAATTTGATATATTTCATTTACAGGATTATGGTGGTGACAGTGTTGATTACAGTCATCATTTCGATACTAACATAAGATTCGCACATTGAAGCCGTTGTGCTATGGGCGAAAAAGACTGCGATATCTCTTAATTTCACAGTGGTTAAGGCGTCGAAGACAGATGAGACTAAGAAATTATTACGATGTCCAAAGGGTGTTTCCCCTAGAGATACGCAGAATCGGGTGTGAGAAACAAAGGCGCAGTATTGTGGATGCCCGTTCCGGTTTCTACCCCAAATTCGCCCAGGCAAACTACTTTTGAGATTCGTTCATGTCCCAGTCGTAACGGTATGCATAACCACCCATTTGGCAGCTTCGAGGAGGGACAGATACAGATGAGCGGCCTTAGTGATAAATCAAAGGCGATTGTTGGCGAGTTGACTGTCATTAATATAAAAACCATCTGCAATGCTGCGGGCGATTCAGCAGAAATGTCCAGACGAGCACATTGTGTTCAAACAGATATATAACTACAAGAGTAGGATGCAGGTGGAAAAGAGGAAGGGTAAAACGTTGGTGGATCACTTCTTTGACATTACTCAGCAACACAAGTATGTGATTACTACGGCTAATAAAAAAGGTGTGTTGAGTCATATTTTCTGTGCACATCCAGTATCTGTAACGTTTATCCGAACACACCCGTGGTATATTGGCACGGATACTACTTATAGAACAAACAGATATAATATGCCGATGTTACAAATTATTGGGATGAACCTACCAACAAGAATTTTCTGATTGGATACTTAATTATGAAGGATGAGAAGAAGGAGAGTTACACTTGGGCATGTCAGCAACTTCGAGATATGATTGGATGGGAAGTGCACCCCTAGTGATTGGGAGTTAGGGCTGGAAGAACCAATCAGTTTGATATTTCCAGATTCTGCACATCTTCTGTGCGTGTGGCACATCAACAAATGTGTTTTTGAAAATGCACGGCGGCATTTTGGAAAGAAATTCGCGAACTGGTGGAAGAAGGAGATGTTCGATCCGATACTTGAAGCTCCTACTCAGTACCTTCATGAAATGTCTGTGATTAATATGTCGTACTACAGGCACTCAAATGCGAAAAGTTATGGAGAGTTGGTGCATTATGTGAAGGCCACTTGACTCGTCCACAAGGAGAAGTGGGCTCATGCGTGAACAAATGGGGTCACACATTTTGGAAACACAAGTAATTGTAGGGTGGAGAGCGCCCATAGTTCCATGAAGAGGTTTCTTGACTCGGCGACCAGCCACCTAGTTACAATATGGACCAGAATCCACGCAGTGATCGAGTATCAGTTACCTGAGATCAAGTACGTAATTCGTTCGTTGTTTAATTTTGTTTTTAATACTTAATTACCAATGTTCTTATATTAACAGTGAGGAATTTAAAATGTAGGTTCCGTCTAACCATATCAGAATGCCGTTTGAGGAGAGAGCACTTTCAGTTTCCCTATGACCGTCTAGCTAGACGTGTCTCACATTACTCTTTGGACATTCTTCAAAGTGAGTATATTCACATGCAGCAATTGGGTGAGGATGATGTTTGTGGTTGTACGTTGAGAACGATCCATGAAATCCCTTGTGCTTGTGAGCTTAAACTGAAAAGGGAGTTGCAAGTGCCTATTACAGTTGCCGACCTCCACCCTTTTTGGAGCAGACTTAATTTTACATGTGCGACACCTGATTTGGCCCCAATTGATGATGCTCAACCTTTTGTGTCAGAGGAGTATACGATTTTTACAGAGCTTTTCCTTAAGGCATTCAACAAGAGGCCTGAATTTTTGAGCTGCGTCAATGAGTTTCTGCACCATGAGCTGGAAGAAGTGGAATACCATGAGCAGATAAGTTTCGAGGAACAAGAGCAACACCATGATTGGATGAGTTTTGAGGAACCTGCAGTGAAGACAAGTGTTAAAGGGCGCCCAAAAGCGAATATCCTGCGGAAATGGTGTTATTGGGAGAAGTAAACTGTTGGTTCAGGACGATCTCGCATGAGCACATCGTTGCCTACATACGATGATAGTCGTAAGAATGTTTTGAATTTATTTATTTTTTGATGTCATATTTTATTTTTAAACATTTTTTTCCAGCAATGTACATAACGTGAATATTATTTTTTTAGGTAAGCAAACAGGTTGGAGGACGAAGTTTCATTCATATCAGTTTTGGCAATCTATTCCGTCTTTTATGGTTCCCTTCGTTCGGAGGTACCTTGATGTGAGGGGAGATGGGAACTGTGGGTTCCGATGTGTGGCAGAGTATGTTCAAAATTCAGAAGAGGATTGGCCGTTGGTCCAAACAACCATTATTCAAGATCTTATTAAATGGCCGGATTTATATGATCCTCCGTATTACTACAAAAGGGAACAAAACATACGACGGTTAAGGTGGCTGGTAGGTGGATGCCTTCCGCCCCATTATGTGAAATGCACACAAGACTTGTACGCGATTGCTACTATCTGGAATGCTACGTTTTTTCTGTACGGCCTCGGGAATACATTAGACGAGGATCTAGGTTTTTATTGTCTGACAGTGTTACCCCTTACTGATCGTGGAGACGCCGGAAGACCAACTCCACCTATGGTAGTGGTAATTAATAATATATTGTATAAACATTTCAAGAAATGGTTATGCAATAAAGACTTACGTAAGATGTGGTTCTAACTCCACCTATAGTAGTGGCATCTAAAACGAAGAAAGAATGCGAATATTTCAAGTACCACTGGAGGTAATTAGGAGCCCATGCAGTCTTATTATGATCACTCCGCTCAAAATACTCTAGATCCAGCCCGGTACTGAATGGGAATTGCATCCAAGCATCACACGTCTCAGTGGGCCTCCATGAAACCTTGTAGGCATGGTGATTACCACTACGATTTGCACTCGGGGGATGAGGAATGGGTGGAGGGATGACCTGGATGTATCCAATCTGGCGCAATACTCGACTAGGCAAGTATGGCTCAATAATATCTCGGTACTGTATCCAGCCACTGTATATGGTCCTCGGATCATCGGAAACAGGATCGGGGCCATAAGGCAACCATTCAACCTACACAAAAGATATAAGATACGTTAATAATATTATTTTTCATAACTATTATTATAAATTAAAAGTGCGAAAAGTGACGTACTTGATAGGGTGTCAGCTTGTCGATATGGTTGCGAAGGTGCATCAGACGATCTGGACTGTTATCAAGATTTGGGACATTCCACCATTCAGCTTGGGGTCGGTCAGGAGCCTCAAAGGGACTGCCCCGAACTGGTCTGAAACATGGAAAACACAGATATATCCACGCCTGAAGTAGTGTGTAGTAACCAGATATTGAGGCATTTTTCAATCTGGTGGACATACCTAGCTGATGGTAGAGATAGGCTAGAGCAGTAGACCGCCAAGAAATATTGCCACGGGTGACTAGGCCATCAATAAACTCGGAGAGAATCGCCGCTCTAATCTGAGTCCCACTCATGTCGGTAAACAACGTGTTCCTTAACATGACCCATAACCAGGCGGTCACCTGATCTAAAGCAAGCGCTGCCGCTCGGCCTGTCTTCGCAACAATGCCCGACTGAACCCCTCCACCGTGGATTACTTTTCTAGTTTGTAACGTCTGACTAGTCATTCTCAGCGCCCTCATGACCAAAGTCTTAGAATCGACAGTCCCAGGTTGTGCTGTAATCAATCTACCTTCAACGGGAATACCCAATATCTGTCGCACATGGTGTAACATGATGGTCATCTCCCCAAAAGGCATGTGAAACGTGTTGGTGTCCGGCTGCCACCTCTCTACAAATGTTGTAATCAATACCTTATCAATGTTGGTGTGCATGATTTCCACGATGTGGAATAACCGTGTACCAGCCAACAAGATCTGAGCCTCAGTCGACATAGAACCCTTCCTTTCTTTCATCAACTTGAAATATGTGACTCTTGTATCCATCTCCAAGGAGGGTTTGTACGACTTATCCGTCAAGCGATGGGCCACATGACCAAGAAAACTGGGAATAACAGAACCGTCATGAGGGCCACCAATAACTGGTCTCGTGACAACCCAAGGCTGGGCATTACTCACTGAAATTAACGTAAACAAATCATTCAATTTTTTTCTGATAAAATATTTGAAAAAGCTTAACTACTAAAATGTAAAATATAAACCCCATAGACTAATTTCTTACCTGCTGATGATGATGCAGTTGCAGATGCTGATGCAGATGCAGCTTCAAGTCCTCTCACCCTAAGACGAATAATATTGCTTCGTCTAGCTGGAGGTGAATACGGAGGTGAATGTGGAGGTGAATCACCTCCGAAATCATTAAACCCTTCCGAGTCGATATCTTCAGTCGGGATATCATCATTGTCACTCACATTCTGTAAGTCCAAACTGGCATGATCAAATACATCGTCAGATCCCACACTACTATCGGCATGACCCTTCTGCGACTTACCCTTTAACTTATACCCAGTTGGACTCCCACGATGATATGAGGCAGAAATAACTCGACCATGCATGTCCCGAGTACCCGACTCAAGCAACAATGAAGAATCAGGTACATCTAGCTTTCTCCTTTGAACCTATATTAATGAATATATATAACTACTCCACTATAATACTTAAAATAAATTCAATTAAATAAATTATACCTAATTAATTTATCCTTTTAACCTACATTAAATATTATATATAAATATTCCATTACAATAATTATTCGAATAGAAATTAAAATAAAATCAATTAAATTAATTATACCTAATTAATTTGTCCATTTAATCTACATTAAACATTATATATACCTATTTCATTAAAATAAAGATTCAAATCTAAATTAAAAATTTTAATTAAATTAATTATAGATATTAAATTTATACATTTTAATGGAATATAATTAAATTAATTACAAAACTAATTAATTTTCTCCCTTTCATTATAAATTAATGCAAATCTAATTAAACTAATTACAACTAATAACACAACATTCAACAACTAATTACATTAATTATAAATAATTTAACTAAAATAATTATAAAAAAATTACAACAAAAAAAAATTTTTAAAAAAAGAAAACTGCCCAGGTTGGCTGACCTGAATGGTGGCCAGCCCGGGAACCTTGGCCGGATTTCTCACTGGTCAAGGGATGTGGATTGGCCTGGTCAGGGACCGACCAATCCTTGAAGAGTGGCCGGCTATAGGCTAGCCGACCCGAACGAAGGCCAGCCCGAGAACCTTGGGTGGATTTCTCACCGGCCAAGGGATGTGAATTGGCATGGTCAGGGACTGGCCAATCCTTGAAGAGTGGTCGGATTTCTCACCGGCCAAGGGATGTGGATTGGCTTGATCAGGGACCGGCACCATTTGAGTCGGCCAGGCTGGGCAGTTTTCTTTTTTAAAAAAAAATTTTTTTTAATAGAATTTGGGAAAAAAAAATTACCGGTATTGATGGTGAGCTTTTTTGTTGTTTCCTGTTGCGTTCCGCCATTTTTTTGGTGTCCGATTATTAGTAGATCTAGATTTGAAGAAGAAGAAGAGAGGTGGAATGAGAAGAAGAAAGAATAAAAGAGAAAGAAGAAGAAGAGAGGGGGAAGGAGAAGAAGGAAGGAGGAAGAAAATAGTTCAGGGACAAAATTGTAAAAAATGAATTGCAGGTGAGTAATTTCTGAACTGCGAAAAGTAATTCATTTTGCTATGCTCCTCTTTCTCATTCTCCTCACTTGCACATCTTATTTCTATAAAATTTATTAATATCCAAATGCAAAACATTAAAATCTTAAATGTACATGTTCAAACAAACATTAATCTTTAAATTACGGAATTTTCCCGTCCAAAAAAAAAAAACGTTTCAAAATTTTGTTCAATTCAACACTTTCAAGTTTATGTTTTAAATGAAATTAACAAAAAAAAATATAAAGAAGAGATTAAATAGTCATTGGTAGTGGCAGGAACATACTGTGATCAGAGTCTCTTATTCGTAGTCGGTTTTAATTTTAGTTATCTAGACAAAAAAAAAAAAGTTGTATATGTAAAAAAGGAATTCAATGTGAGTGAACTTCCTTTTATCTTGAATTTAAACAAAGAGGCCTTATGCAAAATTTGAGTGAGTTTCTCTATATCTACGCATCCCCTCAAAATAGGACATCAATGGAAGAAGGCACACAACTTTATACAATTACTTTTGTAGGTTTTCTGTGGGTTTTGGTTATTGGTTTTATACTTCTTTAGCCAAATGATTTGAGAAAGTTCAAGTTAGCATGCAACTTTTTAGTAGTCTTAATAAGTTTTAATTTTTTTCATGTATGTCATTGAAGAGCACGACAATAATAACAAGTCACGGCCAGGGAACTTAGTAGTAATGCACATAACAAGCCATTTCTAAGTAAGAGTTCTGTAAAGGCATGTCAGTTTTTGTAAAGATAAGAGAGGCCAAAAACCTAGCCAACTCCAACTTTGAACATCAACACCCATATTAGTTAAAGTGGTAGATTCATTTGATCAATCCTCCATTTTCCATTTGAGTCCTTCACAACCGGCCCATAAAAGAAGCCGACAATTAAAAGTCCAAATCATTCCTCCGAATAAGCGATTAGGCTAACTCAATTCCACATCCAAGTTACTTTAGAATAGGCAACATTATTATCAACTACTCCCTCTGTCCAACAAAAATAGTCCACATTGAACTTTAAATTTTTTATTATTTTTAGTACAAATTTGAAAACTCAATGTGAACTATTTTTGTGAGACGGAGGTAGTAACTAGCATGGTACCCATGCAACAAGTGTTTAGATATTATTATCCGAAATGTTTTGACGATTTTTGCAACGTATGAAACCACATGATGTCAACCAACATCCAATTGTTACAAGAAATAATCGATGTGAATACATATTGTGGTGTTACTTTAAAAAAATCAAAAGAAATGAAACTAATTACTGCAAGATTATACATTATCAAGAGGTTGCTTTTAAAGTAGAATCTCATGGGATTTTTAGAAAAATCTTTATAAAATAGACTCTTTTTCTATTGGATAAGTCTTAAGCACTGTCTGTGTAAAAAAAAATGAATTAATAAAATTAGAGAATACCTGCCAGGTACCATCATGATTCTCTTATTATAAAAAAAAAAAGTAGAATTTCATAGAATCAACCACTCCGCGAGTCTAATTGAATTGAACATCCTGATTACACATGAGAATTTTAATACATTTTCTAACTACACATGGAGAGAAGCTCAAATACCACTGAATCTAAGTGTTGAGACTTCCTCATGGCTACAATGAAAAAGGTAGAAAACAGGGAAAAAGCAAAATCAGAAAGTGTGGTAAAGTGCAGCTGACTTCGTAGAGTCAGCTTCTCACTTCCCCAAGGTACATCCCTGAGTCTGCTTCCCAGACTTCTGCTCTGTTTCTAACCTAACTGACTAAGCTAACTCTAACTTCTATCCTTCTAACTCTTGTTGTTGTTCTTCTTCTTCTGCTGTTGGGTTTATATAGAGTTTGGGGGAGTAATCTTGCTTAGCCATGTTGGTCTCCTCTTTACTCCATGGGTTAAGCAAAGGAGAGGAGACCCATACTTCTTTAATGTTCCCCCTTACATCTAGTTATCTTTTTGATGGGATTTGGTTGCTCTAATTCAGTTTTAAGGCACATCAACCTCTTCCTTTGTCAGTAGCATCACTTCTTCACCTTCTCTTCTTCCTTAGCTTCAAAGTCTTGGGCCAGCTTGGCCTTCAAATCAGCTCTTCTTCTTGCCGGTTTCAGCCTTCATTCTGCCCTTGCATTTCAGTCCAGTCAGTATTTTTAATTGTGCCCAGAACTTCACCATTTTTGCCACATTTTGACCACCTTTTTATTGATTTTGCAATTAAGTCCTTGGATCACCAAAAGTCACTAAATTAGTCTATAAAGATAAAATCCTAACCTAATTGACCTAAAACTAAAGTATAAAGAGTCAAATTATAAAGATAAAATCCTAACCTAATTGTCTAAAAATATGCTTAGTTTGACACTCATCAGTTTCTCAAACAAATCGACCAGAAAAACAAGATATGAGATGGATATAAAATCAGATATTAGGATGGATAACTATCTAAAACATGTCCAACCAAATCCCACCCACCGATTGCCATCTGGGTGCCAACGCATCAATGAGAAACGAATGGAGAAACCAAGCAACTGCTTGAGAAAATGGACCTGATTAATAGTATATTTTTATTTGACATGCTTAATGTTTAAGAACTTGTACTTTGTCTTCTGGGTAGGAGTTAAAAGTTCAGTATTTTTATGCATGACCAATCTAAAATATTATTGGATGAGAAAAATAGAAGAAGTGTGTCATTGATCTGTTTAGTATCTAATGCACACTTGTCATGACTTAGAGAAAATGACTAAATAGTTACTGAACTTATGAGCTGTTTGCATCTAACGCATCCATTGCTTATGCTAAACCAGAAAAAGAAGTAAATTTGACCACCCCTCACTATTAATAGGGATCAAAGTCTCTTGTATTCCTCACTAGTGAGATTATCAAATTGAGTAAGGTTTGTTCCTTTGTTAGTTCTTACGATGAATTCTTTGTTTCGTTGTTGCATATCTTGTCACAATTGTTAGGTTTATCTTTCTTTTGTTATTCGCATAAAAGTGGCATCTTTAAAATTGAATCTTTTGAATTTTGGTTTTTAAGCTTATAGATCTCATACCTATTAGGTTTTCTTATTCAATCCTCGAAAGGGGTCTTTGCTTGGTTAGATTCGGCTCTCTTCATTCTTGATTTGAGTTGTTCTACCATTGAACTTGTGAATTGATCCATGTAAAGTCAAGTATGTTTTCTTTTTCTTTTTATTTTTGCGTGTTTTGTGTTCTTTTAGACTATCCTCATCAATTAGGGTGATGAGGGAAGAATATGAAGAATTAGGGAAAGGAAAGAGAGGAGAAAAAATGAGAAGAGAATTCTCAGAAATATCATGAACCAATTATGAATCCTCAACCACTAATTACAAATAGCTCTCACTAATTAGACAAAAAAGACAATAAGACATCTTCCTAAAGATCATATCTATAGCCTTTGTTGTCAGGATTAAACCTCTTTTGGGAGGAAACTCATTTATGCGCTTATATAACATTGTGTTGCTGGATCTTGAAGATGGCTATAGATTTCTTCTATTGTCATAAGCAGATGATTGGGTCATTTTCTAAGTCTTTCCATAAGGTGGCACTTGATTATAGCATTCAAGGTAGGCACTAAAAGACTGATGAATAAATTTCCTATTGTGAAAATTGTTTTAAAGATTGGATTATGTACTTGATTGGCAAAGGATTTGGGTGGTATTGACATCGAAAGAGTTCTGATGCGGTTTCATTTTCTTAATCACTATAAAGAAATTGAATATGGTAAATCGAAGTATAATCTATTGTTGGCTTAGGAACAAACTGAAACTAAGAATTCAACTGTTTTTAATGGGGCAGGATCTGTTGGCTATAAGTCCATCAGAGTTTAAACGATGTCTTATTGTCCTTGTTGTCTAATTGGTTAGAGCTATTAATACGTTGTAATTAGTGGTTGAGGATTCATAATCAGTTAATGATATTTCTGAGAATTCTATTCTCATTTCTTCTACTCTCTTCCATTTCCTAATTTTAAATATTCTTTCCTTATCTCCCTAATCGAATCCAATCTGAATTCTTCTTTATGGGGTTTATTCATAAACGGTATCCCTCAATTCACCAAAGTTTGCATATTGCATGGACTGTCTCGTCCCCTCCAGAAGGTGGCACTTGATCATAGCATTCAAGGGATGCATTGCTTTTAAAAAGACTAATGAATAAAATGCCTGTCATGAAGACTGTTTTAAATATGTTTACTCGATTGGCGAATTAAGAATTTGGGTGGTAGTGACATCGAAGTAATTCTGATGTGGTTTTATTTTCTCAATCACTATAAAGAAGTCAAAGATGGTATCTAATGCACACTTGCATTGACTTAGAGAAAATGACTAAATAATTTTTGAACTTATGAAATATTTGCATCTAACGCATCCGTTGCTTATGCAAAAAAAAAAAAAAAAAAAGAGTAAATTTGGTCACCCCTCACTATTAAAAAGGATCAAATTCTCTTGTATTCCTCACTAGTGAGATTATCAAATTGAGTAAGGTTTGTTCCTTTGTTTAGTTGTTGCATATGTTGTGACAATTGTTAGGCTTATCTTTTTTTTGTTTTTCGCATGGAAGTGGCATCTTTAGAATTGAATCTTTTGAATTTTGGTTTTTAAGCTCATAGATCTCATGACACTATCACACATTTTTAGCCTTTGTTGAGCTAAAAGATGTTCAATCCTGACAACAAAGGCTATATAATCCATAATAT